GGCTTTCCCTTAAGCTCCAGCCAGCTATTTAAATCATAATAAATTCAGTTTGTGGAGCACTTCCTACCTGCCAGCCTCTGGTCTAAGTAACTCCCAGGCATCATCACATTGACCCTTTGAATTTGTTATGATTATCCCTATGTCTTCAAATGAGGAAACTGAGGTTCAGAGTAGTCCCAGCATCACAGTTACTGACTGGCAGAATCCTGGGATCCCAGCCTGTCTAAAGCCTGTACACACACACAGTATTTTATCTTGCTTCCTGCTAGTTTCTCTAACGGCTAAGCAATGTGCAAATAAAGGCTGTGGCTAGACCACCAATTTGCCCAGCCCAATAGCCAGATCACTCAGAGGTACCCTCAGAGGCACCCCACATGCCGTATACCACCACCCTCCAACCATGAAACCCTCAGGCCTAGGATTGTCTGAGATACCTAAATGTTAAGAGTCCCCAAGAAAACCTTTTGGGAGAGGAAAGTCCAGACTCACTCCATCTGAGGAACAGGAAATTCTAATCAGCAGCCTAGTTTATCTTCACAGGACTCTCTCAAAAGTCCTCTGGACAAAGGTAGATACAATCAGCTTTACAAGCACCACTGAGTGCTTGAAAGATTAACAAATACATTGTTTTGCTGGCAGCTGGCCAGGGGTTTCATGCGAACCAGGACAGAAGACAGCTAGAAATTGGCAAGTGACAGGAGGCTCACATTCTGGGACAGCACTTCCTGACAAGCCCCTGCCTCTAGGGCCCAATTGTCATTAACTTTTGAGGGGAAGGGGGTCTGTGGGCCTGTCTGGGATCCCTTGTGTGTAGGTGTGCCCTCTGGGCCTGCTGGGAGTCCCTGCCTGGGAGTGGGAGGGAGGCAGCCTTCAAGTTTGAGCACGTACGCCACTTACACAGTGCCTGGCACCTGGAAGCACCCAATAAATGCCACTATATGGAACAAACAAAAAGCTCCAACAGTGACAAAGTGCTCACCCCTTTGCCCTAGGTCTGGTCTCCTCTGATTTGTTCCCAGCGTGAAACCCCCAAAGACCCCTCTGTGAAATGAAGGAACTAGAGACAGGGCCCAAGAAAGTGGGTGCCTATAATGAGATGCTGGCAGTCAGCACCCAGGCCTCCTGAAAAGCAGCAGCTGCTTGATGACACTGCAGAGATAACTGGATGTAGCCTGGGGCTCCATCTCCACTGTCCCTCCCACCTGGGGAATGGCAGTGGAGGACCAGGCTGCTGCCCCCTCTGTGGGGTCCTCAGGAAACCAAATGGCTACCTGCCAGAAGTAGTAGTCTGGGATTCTCACCCCCAACTCATGCCCCACTTAAAATCTTAACCCTCATCTGAAATCTGCCTCAAACCTGGATTTTGCCTTTCTTATAAATTTACTTTATGTATATATACATACACATACATATATACATATATATTTACATATATGTATATATGTAAAATTTCCTTATATATCTACTTAAATACAAAATGCTTCCTAATTTGTGTTTATAGGGTTTTTGTCTTTCTAAAACACTGATACCATGGAGAGATGAAAGTCTGCATTCAAATCCCAGCTCTGTATCTGTTACCTATGACCCAGGCAAATGACTTTGCTGCCTTACCACAGGTTTCCCATCTATGAATTGAAGTAATATGGCCATAAGGATTTGTTCTCCCAGCCCTAGTAGATTGTAAACTAGACGGCTGGATCTAGGACTCTGTGGGGCCCTTCTTTTTGTTTCGGGCAAGACTCTGCACATGGAAAGGCCTCAGGAAATGCTAGTGGAGTGGATGGATGATGGATAGATGAAAATACCCAACACCACTGCAAAGGGAAAGCTAATGTGATCAGGTCAGATCACATCTTGGTGGGTCCCTCATCATGGAGGCAACTCCTGGAAAGGTGTCCTCTTGCATATACTATGGCTTTGAGCCCCTGCAGAGGGCCACAGCCATGGGGACTTTGTCCCCCTCTAAGGGTGGCTTAGGTACGGCCTCAGAAGTGTGGGAGAGAGAGGGCCATGCCCCTCAGGTCTATTGTGCTATTCCTGAGATTTCAGCTTCACAGGGATAGAACTGAGAGGGGTTGTATGGCATCTGCCTCTGGCTCAGGTAAGCACACCTGAGTGACACACTGCAGCCTCCTGTTGAGCCCAAACCACACTGGTCCGCCCACCACAGTCCCTGTCCTTGAACTCATGCTCTGTGTCGGAGTCCTCAGTCTGGCCTCATGACTAAGGAGCACTTTGTCTTCCCCAGATCTACCTATTAGTTGCTCAGAAGTGTCCATCTCATGCAGTAGGAGAGGCACACTGGCGCAGTAGCCGGCGTAGTGACCAGCAGGCCTGGGTTTGAGCTGTGGCTCGGCACTTGGCACTGTACCCTCCACTGTAAAGAGGGACAGTGAATCCCACCTTACAGATTGTTGAGGTCAGAGTGAGAGTGTGAGGCACCTGACATGTGGGGCACTCAGTCGGAAGTGACAGTTGTCTTCATCTTTGTACTCAGAGGCCCAGAAAACAAGAGGCCTGCCACGTTCTAGCCACACCTCCTCTTCTCTTCCAGAATCTTGGTCAACATGGACAACAACATCATTCAGCATTATAGCAACCACGTCGCCTTCCTGTTGGACATGGGGGAGCTTGACGGCAAGATTCAGATCATCCTTAAGGAGCTGTAAGGCCAGGGCATCCACACCTTCTGACCCCTTGGGGCAGCTGGCAAGTGGCCGCATGCCACACACAACCTCTCCTCGTGCCTCAGTGCTGTCCCTTGAATGCCTTCCTCAGGGAAGAGGCCCTCACGTCACCAACCCAGGAGGGGGCTTGGGATGTGTTCTGACCTGAACCCCCATCTCATGCTTGAATCCACTTTCTGAACCTGCTGCGAGTGCCCGCCCAGCCAGAGACGGTGTCATCATGGTTAACATGCCCGACAGGCAGCTTCCTCCTCAAAGACCCTTCCTGCAGCCCATCTCCTCCAGGCTGCCTGTTGAGATGTGGAAGCAGACCCTCTTCCAAAGCTGAAGACTTTTGTCCGGCACCTGTTAATTCTTCCATCAACTTCAGACAAAGGATTTCTTACCCTTTGGTCAGATACATTGAAAATTCTTGATTTTCAGTGCAAATGACTTTTAAAAGACATGACAGTGAACACACTCTCTTCCTCATGGACTTTCTCAACACAAGATGTAAATAATAGAGCTGATCATCTGGAACCAAGTGGCTGATGTGTAAAATGACCTCCGTGCCTGTTCTCTGTTTATACATTTCTTATTTACAATTTTCATTTATGTTATATATATATAAATATATATATAAGTATATATTGTATATATATGCAACATTTTATATTTTTCATGGATACATTTTTATCATTTCAAAAAATGTGTATTCCACATTTCTTGGACTATTTTTTTTAGCTGTTGTTCAATTATGCATTTTGTATACTCATGGTATTTAGTAATAAAATTCTACCTATGTGTTACTTTAAATGCTGTACTTGTTCCTTTTGTGACAGTCTTCCAGGCAGAGGAGGTGAAGGTAAACAAGGCTTCCCTTCTTCTCTATCTTGTGAGTGGTTTGACATGGACTTGAAGGATGGGGGTCAGCTGGGTGCTGGGGAAGCAGAGGTGCCCACCCAGAAGGCGCAGAATCCTGATGCCCAGGTCTCTGTCACGTGCAGTCCCACAGGCTAAATGTTATGACCTTAGGCTCATTGACTGGAGATGAGTAAGTCCTGGGAAGGGTCCAGGATGACCTTGCCGAGGCCCTCATGGCTGGGACCAGTGGCAGGAGCCATGTTTACATAATAGGACTTCCCATAAACTTGTCTGAATAAAAGTTTTTTAAAAAGTTTGAAGCTCACGGACATCTCCAAGGACCTCTATCTGATAGTCAGGGTCATTGGTCCAAATCTCCAAGGCCTCACCTGGAGGCAGGGCTGGGACTAGGGTCAGGCAAGTGAGGGACTAGCCTCAAGGGCAAAAATTAAGAGGAGCCAAAGATCCCAGTAATCAAGATGAATCATAGTTTAATGCAATATTTTTTCAAAATTAAAGAAAAAAAAATCCATGCTGAGCACTTTCAAAAAGTTGAAGCCAGTCTCTGTATTACTGATGCTTCCTTTGTCCTCAGACCCCAGTGTGGTTTGCCTGGAACTGCTCAGGGCCCCCGTGGAGCACTGAGTTGCTCTGCCTGCTCCAGGTCTGTGCTGCTGTGTCGTCACCTTAGATGTCAGAACAGGGTGATGTGTGAGGGGGAGATGGCAGGGTGTTGCAGAGTGTAAGCACATTGCCAGGCAAGCCAGAGGTGCTCAGCATCTGTTCATTTCCTTCTTTCCTGAGTCCTCCCAGAGTCCCTGGGAAGCAGCAGGTGGTGCTTCTCAACTTTGACTGCACATTGGCATCACCTGGGCAGCTTTTATCCTCACCCCCACCTCCCCACTTCCCGGACCCCACCCTGGAGCAATTAAATCAGAATTTCAGGGTGTGGGGCCCAGGCGTCAGTACTTTTTAAAGCCTTCCAAGTGATTACTATGCAATCAAGGTAGAGAGCCACTGCTCTAAAAAGGCTGTAATTATCAGGCCTGCCTTTGTCATCTGGCCAGTGTCTGTCTGGACTCATACACACAAAGAACCATCAGTATCAGGGCAAAGCCTGCTGCAGAGACCAGGTGTGGATAAAGTGAAGGTTCCTGTGGCCAGGATTCTCGCCTGGCCCTGGTTGGCTAGCTCACTACACACATGTGGGCAATGCGTCCTTACTGACTCTATATAAAGAGCCCTGCCCAGTGCTCTGGGCCACATGGTGGCACAGCTGCAAGGCTGCAGGAGAGCAGGGCAGAGGCTGGAGTGGTGGCAGTGCCAAGGACAGAGACTGGCTGTGTGGGCCGAGAGGCCCAGAGGCAGAGACCGGCTTGCTGCATGCAGACTTGCTCTGAGTGGACAGGATTTTAGTGATTGACCTGCCACCATGGAAATAAAGTTGGGTATAACCCATTCACCCCAAGAACATTCTACTCTCATTTTCTTTGGTCACATTGAATCCATAGTGAACTTGCCCAGGGCTGAAACCCATTGGCAAGACACCGGGAGAGGAGCGGGCAGCTGCACGTCCACTGTACATCTGGCCATCTCCAGCAAAGCCACCGGGGCCCATTCTCTTCCCCTCTACATAAACAGACAAAGGCTGTCAATGGCTTGAAGGGCCATTTGGACGTCCAAGAGAGCCCTGAAGGCTGGAGGAAATTGAGCCTGCCGGCAGAGGACTCGGGAAGGAAAGGCAGCTCCTGAGGCCAACAGCTGCCATTCCGGGTCTTTGCTCCAAAGAGTGAAAAGGTGAAAGGAGTTGTTAGTTCTTCCCAAATGGGGGGTCACTTTAAAAAGGCAGCTGTTGCCTGGTGGAGAGAGCGTCCCCTGGCTGGAGGTGGCTTTTACCTGGTAGACAGTGAGTGGGTGAGGGGAGAAAGGGATGAATGACCTGCTACGCTAAGTGTGGTCCACAGACCAGCAGTATTGGCCTCACCTGGAGCTTGTTAGAAATGCTTACACCTAAAACTAATGCAGTGTTATGTGTCAGTTATATCTCAAGTAAAAAAACAGAAAAAGACATGCAGACTTTCAGGCCTACCACAGACCTAAAGACTCTGTCTTAAGTGATTTGCAGGCACATTAAAATTTGGAAAACATTTTATTAAACTATCAGTGTATCCTAACCCTAACTAGACACATAATCACACTGAGAACTTTAATAAATATACCAATGTCCAAACCCTATCTCAGATCAACTAAGTCAGAACCTCAAAGGTTGAGGCCTGCACAGGCTGCCTCTGTAACAGCTCCCAAGGTGATCCTAACACACAGCCAGGGCCTGAGAACCACTGGGCTGGACGGAACTATGAGCAGCCTATGATATCTTAAAAGAGGCTGGATACAGTCAAGTCAGACCCTCTGAATTGAGGGCCTCAGGTCCAGTCATGGCTTCTATAGCACAGGGATTCTGCTGACCAAGAGCAGCCCTGTGTTCTCCCAGGAGCCCCTCTTTCCTGACCCAACTTGGAGAAGGCTCCTTCTGGAGAGAGCATCTTCACCTACTGGTGCTCAGCCCAGCTGCCCAAGGGGAGGAGAAGCCTGTCTTGCTTTTCAATGCATTACCCCCAGCCTCTGCCCATGGGGAACCCAGGGCCAGCTACTTCCAGGCCAATGGCCTCCTAAGGTCTTCCAGGGTGAGAGGGACCTAAAACCAAGGCCTACTGTTGAGAGGCCGGGGTCAAAGAAAGGTACAGCTTCAAGTGTCAGCTTTGTAAGGGCCTTTCAGAACCTCTAACACCTGAGTGGGCAACTGACGGCCAGCAGAAAATTCTTTCAGTCTAAACAAAAAATTTTTAATTGCAATATGGTTGTCAACATCTCAGATCAAGAGATTTCACATTTTAAAGATTCTCCAGATTCTGTTGAAACATCTGCAGATCTGATAACAGTTAGCTGAGCCATTTTGGATGTCCTTTAGGTGGCCAGCAGCCTCAGCCCCCAAACCCCCAGACCTGCCTCCCTGTTCTGCTCCGTGCATTGCTCGTCTAGCCCCTGGGAGTGTTTACCTGGAGCCCCTGAGCTCTAACTGGACCTGCACCTGGAAGAGAAGCTGCAGCCCTGAGAGTACAGACGCACTAGGTGTCCTGCCTTCAGAGCCAGGCTTCCACTGCTCCTGGCAGAGTGCTCCAGGCCATGCAGTGTTTGGGGCATCTGGGGCTCACAAAGGCCAGTTTTTGTGAGATGCAAGAATTTGGTTTAATTGGATATGTTATTCCATCCTTCTCCCTCCTTCCTCACCCACCACTCCCCAGAGGAAGAGCCAATCAGTGGCCAGTTCTGACACGAAGGCCCAGGATGTAACACAGGAAAGTCAAAGGAGAGACCCAAGGGGACAGGAAAGGCCTTGTCGATGCGGGAGCTGGAGGGGAGACTGCGCAAGAGACTTCCACTTACAAACGGGAAAGATAACACCAATCCTTGGGAGGGGAGAGGATGTTGGGTACTTCTATTTCCTCTTAGTTCTTTGGGAATCTTCCTCTTGTCAAGGGGAATCAATTTGACAGGCCAGAAAAGACCCAGGCTCTGGCTCCAGCAGGCTTCTGCCCACGTGTGCTGTTGAATATAGACCAATAAATGGATGTGGGGGCCTCTTCTCAAGTGGTCATAGCACCTGGCTGCCATGCTCTTCCTGAAGGTGAGATAGGGAGTCTTAGCTGGAGGCAAGGACTCAGGCAAGCCCTTCATGTATCCATCACAAGTGCCTCTGGGCCTTCCCAGAGGAAGCCTGGGAACTGCAGGTGTCTGGAAGTCAAGGCCAGAAGGATGGGAGCACGTCTGGGCCGCAGCCCTGTGCTGCCGACCTTGTGGGTACATCCTGGGCCTGAGAGCCCTGGCTCAGCATCAGGCTTCTAGATGGAGCATCAGCCATTGGCTACCTTCTCCCAGAGTGTCAGTTGGAGGAGCCCCATTAGTCTGAGGGGAGGGGAGCAGAAGCCAGCCTGGACAAATAGCCAGGGGAGGCTCTGTCCACTCCATATTTCTGCTCAGGAGACCCCTGGAGTCAGTGGGGGTGGGCGTTTGACCTCCAGGAGGCAGCTCAAGGCAGAGTGCAGCTGCTCATCCGTAGCAGTCTGGGCGGCAGAGCTGTCCCCAAATCATCAGCCGCCACACACAAAATAGGCCATGCTCTGAGTGAGCATCTGGGGACCCCGGGGGGGGGGGCAGCTGGCGCCCGGCGTCCTCCCCGAGCTTGTATGAGGTCACTGCTACAGCACTGGGATCCACTTCTTGTCCTCGTTGTAGAGAAAGGACTGCCTGCCCAGCAACTCAGGCTTGTATGCGGCTGTGAGGAAGGAGACGGCATTAGGGGAGGAGAGGCCAGCCGCCTGAGTCTCTGGCGTTCTGTGTTGGCGCTGGCAAGGCCGGGGGGACCCTCTCCCAGCCTCTGCATCTTACACGTGCAGAGAGGGGGGGCAGGGACTGGCCCACAGTTATGTGGCTCAAACTCTGGCTTCCTGCCTTCTTTAGCTCCTTTTAACTTCTTTTACGAAAGAAAATTTACAATAGAATTTTGTATGAATTGGAAAAATATATTGAGTAAGGCAATGGTGTCAGCTTGGTGGGATTTTGTTCTGATTTAGTTTGAAAACTTCCAGAAAAGCGAAAGCCACAACAATGGCAGGCATGGCTCCCCAGGAGACCAGCCGCCAGGACTACACAGGCCGTGGGAACCACACCCAGGGGGACCGGAAACCCATCTGACACTGGCTTGGTGAATGCCGGTCTGTGCACGTCAGGGATGGTGAATAGCTAAGGGGCCCGATCTTGGTACTGCTGGCACCCCTGGGAAGCTGCTGATGGGAGCACAGGGCAGTCCAGGTAGATCTGCACCCCCTGGAAGCCAAGAAGGCAAATGTCCACATATGCTCATGCCCAGGGGGCCCTCAGGGACACCCTCCCTGGCACAGGTGGTCACAGCAGCAGGTGGCCTGCACCTGCGTGTCAGGTGCCTTGCACTGCACACAGCATGGAAAAGACACGTGGAAAAAGCTCTCAGAAGACAGAGCCAGAAAGGGTCAGGCAAGCACCCCCTGGTCCCAAGCCTCCTGGAGCCCACCACTCATATGGAGCATTAGTACGTCTGCCAAGACAAACCGCGCTTTACGTGGACGGAGCAGATGACCACAACCTGAAGCCCTGCAGTCTTGTCGGCTTGCTAATAGCTACATTTCCAAGGCCGAAGCTGTGAGAATGACTTTCTCCCTGTCCCGTTTACCTTACCTTTTACTCACCTGTGTGTTTGGTGGGGCCTGTGTCTCCCCAGCAGACCGACGCACCTCAGGGGGAGAGCACCAGGCCTAGTTCATCTTTGCCTCCCCAGGGTGGGAGCATCATCAGTGCTCACTGAAAACTGGATTTAATGAATCTGGCAGCCACTTCTGCTCTGCCTTCCTCCTCCTGCAGCACCTGCCCACCAGCTCACCTGCCAGTCCCCAATGCCCCCAGCGTTGGCCAAGTCAGGGGGTGGTAAATAGTTAAGGGGTCCAATCAAGAGCTACAAATAGGTCAGGGCATCCAGAGACCACCCACCACAGTGAGTCCCTCATGCTACGAGCTCTGAGGTAGATCCCAGAAGTAACACTGCTTAAGCTCATCTGTAAAAGGGGTTGTGAAACGCGGTAGCTTAGAAGAGCTGCTCCACTGAACGGTCCCTGGCTTGTTTCCTGACAGACAAGGCATAGAGGGGAGACAGCCTGGGGCTCTGCCATGCCACTCACTCACTGTGGATCTGTGGACACTATGGAAGGCTCTCTAGGCCTTCCCTCTGCAAGGTGACTCTGCCAGGCATTTAAACATTTTTAAGAAAGAGCGTGAACTTTTTTGACAATCTGACAAAAAAATACGGCCCCTTTCCCCAGAAAATAATGTCTTCATGCTCAAAATCTGCAAACAGTGCCAGGGTCACAGAGCCCCTGGAGCCCAGTTTTGAGCCTCTTGGACATTCACAGCCATAGGTTATGAATCCCTGGTCTGAATCATCTCTGAGCCCTTTCACCTTTAAAAAAAACAAGTACCTTTTTCATACTCTGAAAGTATAATCTGAAAAGTCTTCTAGATCTACTCAAACCCCTGTAAACTGTTTGGCAAACAGCCTGTAAACCAGTGACATTTGATGGCCCAGGAATGACAAACAATTCCAGATTTGGTTTTTACAGTCATTTAAAACACTCCTCTGACCTGGGCCAGGCGAGCCTGGCTGGGACGGCGCCACTGTCCACCGGCTGGTGTTGGACACAAACGATGCACTAGAGATGAAATGCTTGGGCGGCCCCGCGTAGTCCACGATCTCATACTGGCCAGGGCCCGGGAGAGGCGGCTTGGGGGGCAGAGGCAAAGGCTGGGCAGAGAAGTTCAGGATGGGGTTTTTCCTTTAGAAAAGACAAAATGTGAAGATGTCACTAAAGCAGTCTACTTGGGGAAATGGTAGTTTTTAGATATAGGCAAGACCTGCCCTGAGTCAGGTCGTCTGCAAGAGGCGTGACCATGGCACCAGGGGACCTGGGCAGAGTCCTGGCTCCACTGCTGGTGATCTGGGGTCCTGGACCCAGCTCCCTCATCTGCACAACAGTAATCACCATAGCACCTACCTCTTAGGCTTGTTAGGAGTCAGTGAGCTGAGGCACACGGTAGTCAGGACAGGGCCCAACACAGACTCAGGACATTTTATTGGTGTAGATGATGTCACTGAGCTGATCAGGAGTGGTGGATAGCATCTTTCTCCTGTGCCAACTCTGACCGATTGATAGTGCCTGGCAGGAGCTCCCTGCAAAGAACTGATGCCTTACGTGGGTTCTATGGGAAGAGCATTGGTGATCAACTTATGATGCCTGCCATGGCCAGAAAATGGAAAGAGGCATCCTGAACCCCAGGATTTGCCATCCCAAGACTAGTAGATGAGATCTCTAGAGGCCATTCCAGGGTTGATGTTCCAGAATCCTACTAAACACCTTCCTGGCAAGTCAGGATGTGGGAATGGAAAAATATTGGATTGGAAATCTCTGAATAACACCACTCACCACTTACACTGTAATTGTCTGTTTTCAGGTCTGTCTCTCCCTCCTTTAGGAAAGGGAGTCTTTTATGTCTGGTACTGAGAGAGTAAGTGAAAGATAAATGGAACCTGTACAGGAGCCCTACCTCTATCATTAAGTCATTCTGGGCCTCAGTCTCCCCCACATGTAAAATGAAGGGGTTGGACGTGATGACCTCTGAGGTCCCTTCCAGCTGGCCTTGATTCAAAGAGGACCACTGGGTTGCCCAGGGAGTTCCAGAATTGTTTTGGGAATCATGCTGCTCTCCAGCCATACACCAGAAGAGCTGCCTACCTCCACCTCATACCAAAAGGCTCTTAGAAGGTCTCTCACCAAAAAGGCAGAGAAAGTTCTCCGAGCACTGAACAGCCGCAGGGGACTCAACCCCGCTTGGAGCCAGCCCATTCAAACAGAGGGACTGGATTCCCTGGCCACCGGAACTCTGCCACCTTTTGGGCAACACCTTCTGAAGAAGAGGCGTTCTTTTTTTTCAATTTTTCAATTTTTAATTAAATTTAATTTATATTGAGGTACATACAATAAAATGCACAAATCTTAGTATATAGCTCAATGAATCTCGGCATGTATACACACTCATGTAAACATCACCTAGGTTAAGATATCAAGCATTCTCACTAATCTTTTCCCCCTTCACCTATTTCACCCTGCCTTCCCCCTAGACTGCACTCCCCTATGACAATCACCAGTCTGTTCTTTGCGTCTATGAGTCTATTTTTGTTTTGTTTGTTTGTTTTGTTTTGTTTTTTGGTTTCCACATATAAGTGAAACAACACGGTGTTCATCTTTCTCTGATTCATTTCACTTAGCATAATGCCTTCTAGGTCCATCCATGTTGTCCCACAGGGCAAGATTTCTTTCTTTTTTATGGCTGAATAATATTCCATCGTGTGATACATGTACCACACTTTCTTTAACCATGCATCTATTGATGGGCATTAGGTTGCTTCCATATCTTGGCTATTGTAAATAATGTGGCAATAAACAGGTGCAGTTGGCTTTTCCAATAAATGGTTTCATCTTCTTTAGGTAGACTTCCAGCAGTGGAATTGCTGAGTCACATGATATTTCTGTTTCTTGTTTTTTGAGAGACCTCCATACTGCTTTCCGTGGTGGCTGGAACAACTTGCAATCTCACCAGCAATGTTTAGAAGAAAATTTCTGAGTTTTAGAGTACACAGATTTGAATCCCGGTTACACCTCTTACTGGCACTCACTCAGGTGCCCTGACCTCTCTGTACCTGCAGCAAGGAGCAGTAACACCTTCCTTCTCTTCATACGGCAGTTAATGAAAGTAAGGCACTAGGCATAGCCCCAGTAAGTGCTTACCCAGTAAGTGAGTAAGTGCTCAATAAAAGTAGTCGTTCGGCGATATTATTATGATCCCTGTAGCGTCACCACCTGCTGCTGGGTCGGGGAGGAGCAACCAAGCCTCAGGAAAGGGAGATTAGGGGGGCCTCCTCACACCAGAGTCACCCCAAGGCAGGTAGACTCTCCACTGTCAGGAGAGGTTGCTGAAAGTCATGGTCCATCTGCTTGAGGCTCACAGCCTATGACAGAATAGCTGGCGTAGATGCTTATATTTAGAACAAAGAAAAAGGGAAAAAGCATTGCCTCCTTTCTTCCCTTCCAGTTGGCATGGAAGAACTGGTTATAGTGTGTGATCAACCACCTCTCCCCTTATAAATAAAAGCTGGTTTCTCCTTGTTCTGGCACCCCTTCAAAGCACCCCCAGAAATTTGATTAGTGTGTGACTGGCGCCATGAAGACCACAGGCTGGATTCCTGGAAGTTAGAGCTGGAATGAGCCAAGTGATGTATGATGTCACCCACTGGTCTGGGTCACCCTGAAGTCCAGTTCCCTGAGAAGACAACATCGTGCCTGCTTTCCTGGCTGGCTGGGTCAGTGTCTCACCAGCATTCCTGCTGAGAATGGGTCAGCAAGGTCCCTTGCCCTCCACCCCATCAGCATGCTCAGGAAAGGCCTGGCGCTCAACCCAGCAAGCTGGACCTTGAGGGAGGGTCAGCCACATGTGGGACTTTGTGCCAGGCACTCTGGGGAGCTGTTTTGGACTAAGACACAGACCCTGCATGCTCCTAAGGGCTTGGTATTCCACTGCTAGTGACAAACATGACTGGTGATACGTTAAGGCAGTGCAGGCTTTGCACTGGGACAGACTTGGGCTTGAATGTCCTCTTCCCCATTCACCAGCTGCATCCTTGGAGAAGCCTCTCCACCTCCTGAAGCCTCCATTTCTTCATTCGTGCAGCAATGGGTAATGATACCTGCCACCCAGGACTATTGTGAAGATTAACTATTACTCTACTTATATTATTTTTTAAAAAACATGAAATGTTAGGATAAAGGTAAACACACTGCATCGAGTGTGGAGAAAGAAAGAGACTAATTTCCAAGGAGTCAATCTAGACATCTACCCTGGAGGAGGTAACACTGCCCTGAAAGGTAGGTAGGAATCCCTCGGTGAGGAAAGGTGGGGAAGGGAGCATTCCAGCAGAGAAAACAGCAGGGAGAAAAGCCCAGAACAGAGACTAGATGGAGCTCCAAGTGGCAGGAATTGGGACACAAGGAGACAGAGGCTGAGCCTCCCGGACTGCCCTCAACCCTCGTCCACCCATGATTTCTGGGTTTTCACTTGTTTCTGACCATCCATCCTCACAGACCCTGAGGAGAAACTAAAGGAAAAGCTCCCAATCATGGCCTCTCAAGCCAGCTTAATCTCCTGTGCCCTGCACTTCCATTTTGCCATCCCCAAACACCCAACACAGCAGCTCCGTGCCTCCGCCCGCGCTGTTCCTTCTGCCAGGAGCACCTGCTTTGCCTGCACACCTGGACTCATTTCTCAGTTCCCTCCTTCAGGAAACTACTCTGGACACTGCCCTCCCCCTGCCCCCTGCCTCCTTTCCATGGCTCCAAGGAGGAGCATGGGCTTTAGAGTCAGATGGACCTGGATTCCACTCTCTGCGCCATCATCTTGGCAAGTCTGCCCTTCATCTGTACACTACTGACCTGCAGGGGAGTTGGAAGCATGACCCTAGGTAATACTACCTATGGAAGCTCTTAGCTCAGGGTAGCTGGCTCCTCAATACCTTCCAGCCATTCTTTTCTCTGCACAGAACAGGCTAGATTTTCCTATGCTCTTTACTCCCCTACCTCTTTAAGGGGGGGATTATGTCTGACTTTTTTTCAGGCCTCCGTCCCTCTCCCTGGGACATTTGCTGAACTACAGAGAAAAGCAGAAGGGATGAAGCAAGTAGGGGAGCCCTGACATCTGAACCCCACTCGATAGTTTTATCACCATCCAGGGCTGGTCCCTCTGCAAGGTGGGACCGGGCAAATCACAAAGGTCAGGCTGGAGGAACCCAGGGTGGCCCTCAGCACACTGTCACTGGGGCTTTTATGACTCTCATTGCTCAGTTACAAAAGCCAACCTGGTCCTGCCCCGTGGAAAGAAAACACCTATCAAAGGCCCTGAGTTGGCCACAACTGGATTAAGTGTGTCTGCGGCTTCCAATGTGAACTGTTTCTAAGTGGTCCAAGAACAATGAATGCCTCAGAAGGCTCGGCAGGTCACTCGGGGAAGGCATCTGAGACCCTCCGGACACTCCCAGGCACAGATTCCCTCCGCCTCGGGGATTCCCAGGCTCTGGAGGGATAAAGGGGCAATTTTTTCTCATCATTAAAGGGCAGCCGATTGCCTCTGGGGTGGAATGCAGTATCTGTTTAACTGGGTAGCGGGTGACAGATTACAGCCACTTAGAAAGAAGCACCCCATATCTAATTGAAAATCCTAGGGGAACTTTAGGTGGGTCCTACATAATTACCCAAACTGGAGCCGGGCCAACGGGACTTGATTCTTCAGCTCTGGTTGTGACAGGACAGCGTGTCTGTGCAAAACCGGTGGCTTAAAAACTCCAGGAAGTAGATCAAGGGTTAGAAAGATGTCACTGGGTGTTTCACCTTCTTGTTGGAAGGCAGCGCCTAGGAGGGACTATTTTGATCTTCAAAGCCCTATCCTGAGTCAGCTGATTCATTGAGTCATTCCTATGACGGGTATTGAAGACCTGAAGCAGTGAAACTGTGGCTGACACTTCACTTCTCTTGTAAAGACCCACCCCCACTGCCCTGGAAGCCGACAAGTCCTCTTAGCTTTTGAGTCAGCAAGACGGCCCTCTCAAAGACCCTGTGACATGTTCTTCAGCCAAGGAGACTGGAAATGGGCTGGAGGACAGCATCTGCCCTGTGGGGCCACTCAAGAAGCATAAGGGGAGGGAAGAGGATCCACTCACACATGTCAGTAAAAATACAAGTGACGTGCATTGAAAGCTTACTGTGCACCAGACCTGGAAACTTATGTGGGTTATCTTATTTAGTACTTAGAAAACACATTATGAAGTGTTCTTTTCATAATCTGCAATGTTAAATTTGGATTCCTGGGAATTAAGTGACACCCTCCTTTGTCCCCAGGCTCCCAGGGCTGCTGAGAGCGGAAGCCAGGAGGTTCAGTGAGGTGTGACTTCGAACCTGTGCTCATTCCCACTACGCACAGCCCTACAGCCCTCTCCCAGCCCCCTGCCGGCCTCCGGAGCCTCCACAGCGCGTCACCCGGTCTCTCACCAGCCTGGGCTCCCCTTTTGTTGGTAGGTAACATGGGACTCACAACTCCAGGGGGAATTAACATCTCCTCAACTCTCCCTGCATCCTGAAGAAAGCTGAGCCAAAAGAGGATTTTGCAGGCTGGAACCCTGCTCAGGGATTCCCTACTCAAGAGAGGGAGCCAAGCACATGCAGACCAAGACAAACAAGGGCAGGCCTCCCATCACGTCATGTGTGCATGAAACTGGCTGCATGTGCTTCTGAGAAAGAAACCCAGAGGCCATTCTTGGACTCTCCACCACTGCCCCCAAGCAACCCCGGAGGTCTAAATATGATTAGGCTTGATGTGGACAAGTCTCAAGGGAAGTTACGTACAAATGCGAAGGAAACAATGCAGACCTTCTCAGGGCCTTACAATCCCAGTGTATGGGCGACTAGGCCCTCTTGTCTCTCTCTTCCCTCCAGAGACACAGAAGAGGAAATGTAATTAGAAACTGAGAGCCCAGAGTGTGGATACATCCTCAGTACTATAATATTCAGCTGTATCTTTTCTTTTTATCACACCATTTCTTCATCATTCAACAGAAACAGATAGATGCTTTTTTAGAAGAACCCAAAACACACTTCAGTTTTATCTCCTTTTTTGTAAATGAAATTACAGATCCCTCAGTTTCATCCTTTTTGTGTCGGTTTATAAATACTTTGGACCTCCTCTGTGGGCCCCAGCTGGCTCCATGGTCACTGCCCACTGCGCGCTCCCTGAGCCACACCGTGAGCAAGCCCGTGTCAGTGTCAGAAGTGGGAAGGCCTCCCTTCTGTCACACAGAGCACAGAGCCAGGTAACACAAATGCCCTGCCCGGGGCACCAGCCACCCACCCACCAGGCTGAGCCAACTGGGGGTCTATCCATTCACCAGGCTGAGCCCAAGTTTGAGAGACGCTGGGTCCAATAGGGTTCTTTCCTTCAGACTCCTCAGAGCCTTTAATGAGCCCGTTACGGGGCAGTGCTCCCCAAGGCAGAGCATTTGTCTGCAGCACCTCCCAGGCTTCCTTCCCAGGGATCCGTCGTTTGTGAAGCATCGCAGAGAGGCCCACACACCCCAGGCATGCCAGCACCACTGCACTGCCCAGCAGAAAGACTGTCCTTGGGGACGTGTGTGGCACACGACCTCGGGGCCCGTGAGCCCACCTTTTGTTACCCACTTGCCTGCCTTGCTCTGGAGTCGCTCCCAGTGAGCCGTGCTGTGTGTGTGCGGTGCTCTGCTCACCTGAGCACCGGAGAGCTTCCAGCACAGAACCAGAGCCTGTTGACTGACCATGTAAATGCCATCAGTCAGGGTATTTCAAACCACTCGTCTGAACTTAAGCAAAAGACAAATGACTCTTTTCTGGGGAAAACAGCTAAACCCTGCGTGTTCTCTGCTCTCCTTTCACCATTTCCTTGAAGAAGCTTCTGGATTTGGCCTGGGGGCTTGAGCGGCCATACCAAATACCTCTATCCTCATATGCCTATAGGATAGCAAATGATAGCAGCTATAATAATAATAGCTATTTTCAAGCATTTTCTCATCTGATCCTCACAGAACCCCTGTGAGATAAGATTACTCTACTTAATACAATGAAAGCTGAGGCTCAGAGAGAAGTCTCTGCAAGGGATGAGGCCACGATTCACTCGCAGGTCTGCTAACTGGGTGTGTTCACATCTTTCTCCTCCCCCCAGCCCCCGACCCCTCGCTTTGGGCTCACGCTCTGTCCCAGCCCTTCCGGTCAGCCCCCACCCCCACAGCCTGGAGAGGAATATTCAGGGGTGAAGTCTCAGATGGTGGCAGGAGGACTGACCTCAACAGCAGTTATTTCTAGAAGTTCTAGAACCATCTGAGGAACAAATAAGTCTCGTGAGTTTTCAGCCTCCTAGGTGAAAGTAACATTAAATGTATAGGATATTAAAAATGGTAACAAAATCACCATCTTCACTTTCTAAATTTGCATTGTTACCATTTGCACCTACTATATGCCAAGTATACATTTTTAAATACGAAGGCAACCCTATGCGTCACAAATTATCCTCACTCTACTTTACAGATGGGGATGTGGAGGCTCAGAGGGGTGAGTACAGTGCCCAAGGTCACATAGCATGAAAGCAGCAGAGCTGAAGTTCATACCCAGCAGGTCTGAAGAACTCCAAGGTCTAGGCTTTTAACCTATCAGTCCAACACTACGAGAGCTTCACTGTTTCTAGATGTCCTGCCACCCCTGTGGAGATTTGATTATAAAAACAGACTAAGTGGGAAAGAAGAAATGATGTATTATGATTAGCATGTATAATGTGGGGGGTGGGGGAAAGAGGAGGGCTTTGCAACACAGAGAAGACAAGTAGTGATTCTACAACATCTTACTATGCTGATGGACAGTGACTGTAATGGGGTTTGTTGGGGGGACTTGGGGTAGGGGAGAGCCTAGTAAACATAATGTTCTTCATGTAATTGTAGATTAATGATAACAAAATCAAAAAATTAAAAAAAAACAGACTAAGGTAGCACCAGGAGAGTGCAGCATATGGGGGATGTGCAAAGACCCAGACAGTCCTGAGCCTCACTCCCAGCAGCACCTCGGAGAACTGTGTGGACTTGGGCGAATCACGCAGCCTCACTGAAGCCTAGCTTCCTCCTCCATCAAGTAAGAATAATAATTCTTATGACAGGGTTATTATGATAATTGAATAAGACATTAAGTTCCTGGAACATAGTAATTGCTCAATAAATATTATCATTCAACAAGCATTTGTTGAACACCTACTATGTCAGTGAGGGGCCCTGGGAAGCAAACTAGTACTGCGTCCCGACGAGCAGAGACACCCCATGAACAAGTTTGGGGCATCCCCCAAAACCACCTTTCAGAAGAAAAATCAGAATAACCAGGACTCACGGGAAAAGAGTCTTTTTTGGAATTTTGGTGCAATCATTTGGGTTGTAATAACCAGGTCCTGGGCCTGTTGATATCAGTTTTAATCCACGGCCGGTGTTCGATTTAAAACAAGACATTAATGTCTTTGGCGACGGCTTCACAAGGGATTCATTGACATTATAATGCCCTAAACAGAAAGAAATTTTAAAACAGAATAAAGAACTCTGCTCAAATAAATAAAAAGCAGTACCTTACACCCGAGAATACATTTAAGGACTCTAAGGCAATATCACTCCAAGGTGGTCAAATGGAAGGGCTGCAGGAAATAACCAAAAAGAAACTCACCATCAAAAGAACACACGCCACGGGCATCACACACTTACCTCATTTCCTCCTCACAGCAGCCTGGTGAGGTGGGTATTACCACCTCCATTCTAAACACAGGGAAACTGAGACTTTGAGATATTAAACAATTTGCCAAAAGACAAATTAATTCATCTAACCAGGGTCTAAGCCCAGCTTCCACCTCTGTAAAGTAAGAATAATAATTCTTTCCCCACCTGGGTGGTTATGATAGTTGAATGACATTTTAGGTTCCTGGCATGTAGTAATTTAGTTAACTATTATGCGATCAACAAATATTTACTGAGCACCTAGTCTGTGGACCCAGGGCTGCCTGTCTCCAAAGCCCATGCTTTCCCATCATGCCCTGTCTCAGGTAACTGTGACAAAATAAAATCAATGTGTAGACAAAGCTTCAAGGAAGAAGAGAATGATCTAGGCTTGGGGGAAGAGAAAAGGGTCTCACCCCTGGACTGTCCGTGGCCCTGGCAGTGGAGCAGGCGTTTGGAGTGCTGAGCAGCTGTACTTGGCAAAACTATGCAGATGTCTGCATACTTTGACCCGGGCTTCCATGACTTGGAAATTAAGGAAATTATTTGACATCATGGAAAATCTGTAAGCATAAAGATGCACACGGCAGCAGGAACTGCAATGTGAGGAAGGGTACATAACCTACGTGTCCAGGAACAGGGGCACAGTTATGGGGACTGGAACCCAATCCGGTGGAACCTCAGCCCTGACAATGAGAAGCACAATGGCCATAAAGCCAAATGACAATGTTTTTGAAAATAAAGTAAAATAAAGCCCAAATGGCTATACAGACTATGAGGACACCTAGGTACAGATGGATCCATATGAATAAAAATAGGCGGGGACCCAGAAAAGTGGAAACAACTCTGTTAGAGGTGGTGGTGTGGGTGCAAAAGATATTTCCAATTTTCTAAACATTGCAAAGTTACTTTTGTTTTAATAAAATTCCCTTTTCCATTCCAAAAGTAATGAAAACAGCAGTATGGTATGTATTAACAAGACTTTATTTAAATGCTAGTATCCAGTGGTGGCAAAGTGAGAGGAAACAGTTACCTCAGGGAGCAGGAAGATAAATGATACTTGTGCTGGAGGGCAGTGTGGTCCCAGATATCAAAAGCCCTAAATATTTTACATATCTTTGCTTGGCAATGTCACCTTAAGAACCAATATAAGGAAATAATCTTGACTGTACACAAGTTGTGAGCTATAAAGATGTTTGCCGCCACTCTGTGTATATTAGTGATCAGTTTAAAAAGACCTAAATTTCCAACAGAAGGCATTTGATCCTTAACTTACGGTACTGCCATATAATGGAACTACATCTGTTTTAAAAATGATGTCCTAGGAGAATTTTTAATAACATGAAATGTTCCCAATATATGCTTAAGTTTAAAAAAAGCAAGTGTCCAGTTAGCAGCATTTATAATATCAGTATGTATCTTTCATATTATCTTTCTGTTTCTTTTTCTCGCATATATATGTGGATATAAATATATAGAATATGTGTTTTTTTCCTACCAAAAAAAGGTTAAAGCAATGCTTGATTATAAAAATGCATAAGAGCAGAAGCAAGGGGGAAAAGGCATTCACGCTCCCGTGGCCAGAGAGAAGCAAGGGTAAATTGGTGTATATATTTCCTTTTTTTTTTCCTGCGTATAGTTGGACTGTCTCATGGTGTAGAGCTCAGTGAGGATTCAATTCTGTAACCCACGTTTTTCAAGTGAGACTGTAACGTAGGTGTTTCCCCATGTTCTAATAATCTTTTGTTTAAGGAAAATAGAGTGGAGGACATGGGTGATGTGCTTTAGGAAATTCAACCAGCAAATGTGTAAAGGCGAGCATTTTGCTCAGAATTGAAGGTAAGCCAGAGCAGGGCCTCAGCCCCTGATGTAGGGTCACTCAGAGCAGTGGGGGTACAGCAGGGATGCCAGTTACAGCTCCACATCTGTTTTTTCCCACAGTGGAGAAGCAAAAAGCACAGCATTATTTCTGAGAAATCAAAACAGACTGTTTCAAAGAGGAGCAGATTCCCCTGGCTCTGGCCCCTGGCCAGTTGTGGGGGTGGGGGTAGGAGTGGTATCTGAGGCACTAGCAGATCTGGATGGGCCTGGATTCAAATCTGCCTGTTGGACCCAAGGTTCATCACTTGCTTTTTATGTATAATTTTCACCGTTAACTGGGGATAAAATCACGATAGTAGCTCACACTTTCTGAGCACATGATTATGTGCTAGGCAATGCTCCAGAGGATTTTAAGAGCATTCGATGAGATAATGTAAAGCCTCCAGCACACAGTAGGGCCTCCACAGATACTGCTGCCCACCTCTCTCCCTCCGGTTCTGTGACACAGGGGGCTAAGACCCCTGAGGATCCTCCTGGAGGGAGTGGGAGCATGCGGCTGGTTGAGAGGGTGCCCACATCCCAGGGCTCACTGGCAGGGCCCCTGGCCAAACCCAGGGATGCCGGCTTTGTTCTGCTGTATAAACAAACAAGGTGGGGTTTTGCCCACGGATGATGCAAGGCCTGGGAGCTTTAGCCGGGGCTTAGCCTCCTAATTAGGGCTGGTTTTGTTATTCAGCTTCAGACTGATCTTCTCAACTTTAATCTGGATTTGGTGAAATCTGACATGCGCTGCAATTTTATCCACATCCCCCTCCAAGAGGCGTGACTGTAGAGGAAGCCCTCCCTGCCTCTCCTCTCAGCTCGGGGCCCCAAGGCTCCCTCGGGGGGTCTTCAGGACCCACTTGGGGAGGTCTAATTCAATGAGCGCTCCTGGAGTGTAGACCTCACCAGATCTCTCTGGAAACCTTTCGCTAAGGCCCGAAGGCGGGCGTCGGAGGAGGTCGGAGAGCACGGGAAGGTGCAGCACCTAGCCCCAGCCCAGCTGGCAAAACCCTTGCAGGCAAGCTCCATGTATTCCTGGGTCCTGGAGGTTTCAGAAGTCCCAGTGGGACAGGGAACAGCCTCCTCAGTCAGACACCTCTGAGCTGAGGTCGGCCATTCAGCAGCCAGGTGATGGTGCGCAGGTCCCTTCAGCTCCCTCATCTGTAGCATGGGACTGAGCTATGGACCCATGAGGGCAGGCGCGTGAGCGCCGCACGGGAAGCAGTGCGGAGGAGGAGCTGCAGCCACTTTCCCTCATTCCACGACTGGGTGACCGAGTTGCCTCCGGGCAAAGGGGAAAAAGGGTATTGCCCCTGAGCGCCAAGGATCAGGACACTCAGCGTGTAGCGTGCTCCCCAGGGGCGCCGAGGGTACGTGAATGTGTGCGCTCCTGGGGTGAGGAGCCACTTCCTCACCTGGCTGCCCTGTCCTGGAAGGGAGGCCCACGAGGCTGCTCTGGGGCCGATTCCAGAGCCAGCTTTTCTCACCTGGACGGGGAGGAGGGCCTGTCTCCTCACCCTTCTCCTCTTTGTTCTACGCCTGCCTCCAGCTCCTCTTTCCCCAAAGGCCCCCTGAGCAGGAACGGGTGCCTCGTGGATCAGATCTGGTACATTAACTCCCGGGTCAAGGAGGCCGGCTGCTTACCTGGGGCAGGTACCGTTTCAGTCCTAGTGAAAAATCCCCTCTGGGTTTTGGACATAAACCCTGCTCGGGCACAGACGTTGTTCTTCTGCTTGCAGCAGGACACAGAGGCCTGGGGAGAGAAAACAAGAGTGCTGGGCCCAGTGCCTTCCCTGTCTTTTCTTTTCTTTGTCGTCGTGCCTGGACGAGCGGCACCTTTGGGTGAAAAATCAAGTTTAAACCCTTCCTTCTCAGAAAATGAACTGACATGAATGGTAGGGCCACACTGACTCTGTCCTCACCAGCACCCCAGCTGGAGTGCTTGGTGAGTTTGTGATCACCAGCCAATGTCTGGTGACCCAAAATGGCACAGTGGACGGTGCCCCCAGGAGACAGCCTGAGGACCTGGCTTCTGCTGCACAGGGCATGTGATCCTGCACAGATTGTTTAATTTCTCTGAACTTGAATTTTCTCATCTGTAAAACAGGTTGGGTAAACTCTGCTCTACTTGGTGTAGTGTTGTGGCAGTGGGGGGCAGGCAACTGAAATCATCTATAGGAAGGTATTTTGTTGAAAGTATTTAACACCATGTATGCAGATTATTTTCATTATTTTTTTCTACAATTTTTATTCTTTTCAGGACACCTAGTCCTATATATGCCTACCCTGATTGCTCACTATTTCAGTCTTTCTATAAACGCAGGATGTGGGGCATAGAAAGGAATCGTGTAATTTAAGATTATGATCAGATTTGATTTGTAAGCACTCTCTTGTCTTGACTTTTTTGGACATTGCAGAAATTAAGAATTGTGGTTGATCCACGCAATATTCAGTGTGTTCAGAACTCCAAAAATAATAGGAAAAAAACCCTGAGATCATTCTTACATTATACATGAATCATAAATATTTTAAATGCCAATTTGCAGTTAGTCTCCTGTGTTCATTAGATAAAAGATACAATAAAAATCTTACCTGCAATGGCTGGGAATATTTACCAAATGAGTGAAACTGTTTGCTGGGGCCAGGATGGTTTGATTTTTCCGTGATACTCCTTTGTCAAAAAGAAATGTTTCTCAAGAAATGCAGATGGCATTTTGATTCTATGTTTACAAAGGCAGAGGAATTTAGCTTTTCCCAGGGTCCTAATGGCTAGACTGCATGCAGAGAGGGCAAACAAAAAGATCAGATGGAGCAGGCTAATTACTGGACAGAGGGAGAGGAGCCAGGTTGCTGGAGAGGAAGTAATAACAAGGTACCAGGGAAAAGGATTCAAAATAGAGAAGAGGGGAATCATGGTAAGCAAAGCAAAGAAAGGCCTTGGCAGACCTCAGTGCACGCTGTGGCTAACAGGATTATCGCATTTCTACTCCTCACCAGTTGACTCAACCATTGTTCTCCAGGTTTGAAAAAAGCCTCCTGTAGACAAAACACTGCTTCAGCTTTATTCCTCCCCCAAACAGAAAAGCAACTGAAAAAGGGAGCATTTTTGTATACACTGAGTGTGTGTCCCTGGAAGAGGTCACCGTTAGACTAGAAAAATAGCCAGCTTCCCTGGCAGGCTTTTAAAAAAATGAAGCGAATATATTGTATTGCCATGGGGGAAAAAAAAATCCAAGATATAGTTAAATAGAAAATGCTCATGTACTGTGGACAGCATAATCCTCATATTGGAGGGAGGAGCCAGAGGAGGAAGAGAATAGGAAAGAAATTGCACCTGGTTTTTGATGGTGGTTTGCTTTGGAGAGCAGAATTATAAGGAAATACTACCTTTTAGTTTATGGATTTCTATAATGCTTGAATATATTTTATGATGAGCGTGTATTATTTCAGAGCCACATTAGAACAATAATGAACAAACACATATACCCAAAGCTGATCGTCGGCAGGAGGACTGAGCTCTGACTTGGGGAGTGCTCTTTTCTAGATTAGTAACTGCGTACTATGGGGGACTTATTCCTTGGATGTCATAAACTCTTGTTGCGTGATTACTGAATACCAGGACCAGCGCTGGCCATTGGAGACCTGAAGCGGGGGGCAGGAGCACACAACGGGCCAGGGGGCAGATGCATGAAACACTACCTCTCTCAGGAATGGCAGAGGAGAAATGGCCAAGAACCCTCATCATGGCGTTCCTGGACCAGGGCTTGACTTCTCTCCTGTTACCAATAGCAGCCTTTTAACTAGTTTTCCAAAATCCAGCCTCAACCCACACTGCAGTCCATTCTCCATACAGCTGCTCGAAGGAGCTTTCTAAAAAGTAAATCAGATGATGTCACCTCACACCTTCCATTCCCCCAAGGGCTTCCCAATGTACAGAGAACAAAATCTGAACTCCCTCCTGGAGTCTTTAGAGACCTGCATGAACTGGGCCATGCCTATCTGCTTGGCCTCCCCTAATTCCCTCTCTTCCTAGCTAACGCTGTTCTAGCCACCTGTCTGTAAGTCCCCACAGGCTGAGCTCTCACTGTCCCAGGACCTTTGCACGTGCTGTGCCCACATTGCAGCTTTTCCTTCACACCTCGGGCCTTGGTTTCAGGGCCTTCTCTGACCACCCGTCTAAATACATGTTACTGTCAGCTCCTTATTAGTCCCGAAGACATTCTCTCTCTCAGGCTCCGACTGTTTGTCTCCCTCCATTTGTAATTATTTTGTTTGTCTATTTACTAGTTCTTATCTTGAGTTCCCCACTGGAATATAAGCTGTTAACACTGGTCTGGCACAGAGGAGCCACAGAACCCATAAAGGGAAGGCCAGCAGGGCTGGAACACTGTGACTCGATCTCTCTCCAGCTTTACACCTCAGCCATCCACCTGTGCCCACTGATGTGCAAATGCTCCCTTGGAGCTGGGCAACTTCGGGCAAGTCCCATCACCTCTCTGAGCACCTGCTTCCTCTTCTGTAAATTGAGAATAAGATAAACCACTTCGTGGATTCTTGTGAATATTAAACAAGATGAATACATAACTCTAAGAACAGTACATAGGCCATGAAAAGTGCTTCTTTGTCATCCTCAACATCAACCTTTTCAGGCTCTGATAACCCCATGGGAAGACTCTCTAGAGCTGTGCTGTCCAGTCCAGTGTCCACTGATTACAGTGGCTGTCAAGCTCTAGAAACATGGCTGGTCCAAATTAAGATGTGCTGCAAGAATGAAATATACACTGAATTTTAAACACTTAGTATGAGGAAAGACACTAAAACATCTAATTAATAATCTTTATTTTGATTAGATGTTGAAATAATATTTTGAATATACTGGGTTATATATTAGAATATATTATTAAAATTAATTTCACTTGTTCTTCTCTACTTTTAAAAGTGGCTACTAGGAAAATCTAAATGATGAGTGGTCCCCATTATGTATCTCTTGGACAGTGTTGGCCAACCAGGTGCATATATATTGCTCTGAGCACATTAGAGTTGATTGGAACCATCATAAAAGGTGGGCAGGATCTCTGCAGTCTGAAAATTAAATATTATTTTAAAATATTGTAAGACAAAAGGGAAGTTAAAAATGAAGTATTCTAAGACTAAATTTGACATTTTGAAATATGTCATAATACCACTGATACCTCATGTACAATTTGTGGCTTATGTAGAGGGCTTTCACCCTTATCTCATTTGCTCCTTATAATAGTCCTGTAGGGAACATATAATTAATTTCATTTTACAGTTGAGGCTCAAAAGATAACGAGACTTCCCTGACAGCTCTCCCAGCCCCTTGTACTGTGGAGTCCTCGTGGGCCAGGTGCGGTGCTGGGCACTCAGCATGGATTACCTCACTTAATATCTGCATTAACACTATGACTAGACACATATCCCCATTTTTCAGATCAATACACTGAGTCCAGAAAGGTTAAGGGACTTGCCCGAAGCCACACAGTAAGAAGGTGGTAGAGTGGAGATTTGAACCCGACTCCATCTCTTCATTAATCGTATGTTCCACCTCAGTGAATACAATCATGATTGACAGAGCACTGCTGTTAAAAAGCCAGTTTTCTGACAGGGAAAAATAGAAGTTTATTTTCCCTATAAGAAAAAGTAAATGAATAGTGTCTACAGATACAGTGGTAATATATTCATTGTTACAGAGGAGAAAATTGTTCCAGGAAGGTTATATGATAGGAGAGATTAGAATAAGCATTTCCCAGGTCAGTGGTCTTCCCACGGCTCTGTCCTGACCTCCATGTTGCTCACAGTTTCCTCCGGGTTCTGCAAATTCCCTGTAAGAGTCTTGCATAGTTCATGTACCCATTGGGTAGTCAGCAAATGCTAATTGGTTTACCACTGCATTAACATGAGCTATTTCCCAAAGCTCCCCTTTCCTTTCTTCCATTTTAGCAAGCCGATCGCTCAGTATATAGGTAGCAAACATAAGCAGTGTTCTTACATTATAGTGGTTTGGTGCAGGAGTTTCAAACTTGAGAACTTTTGCAAAGCTTGGCAACTGGAACATGCTGGAACAGGAATTACTGAAGTCTTTCTTCGAAACAAAATGTGATGGGATGGTGTATGCATTAGCTGCGGGATACTTTGAAATGACGGTGGCCAAGCGGGCACACTGTGAGGAGAAAGCCAAAGAAATAAGCATTGTCACATAATCTTGTGGCTCTGAAGGACAGATGTCAAAAAGATGGTATGGAGCGCCGAGTTAAAGCATTTTACAAAAGGTGAAACTCTAGCAGGTGACAATAATAAACTGACCTCCGGCTTTGAGAGTTTGTTCTTGGAAAATGCAAGTTCAAACCTGCTTTAACTTCTGTAAACTAACTCAAATTATTGACCTTAAATTTGGGACTTGGCAAAAATAATTTTGCCATAAATGCATTTGCACCCAATCCCCTTTCAGGCCACTTACACTTGACTCATTAGCTGTTGGGTAATTTATATCATGGGAAGTTTTAGAGTTTCTTCCTCCAACCAAGGCTTTCCTTTTGAGTAAAACCTTGCATCTTGTTTCTAAGCCTCAATAATCTGAATTGCCTGAATAACAAGTTATTTCTAATGTCTTAAAGGTACAAGGGCCCATGGGGCTTGCTGTCCACCCACACCTCCTAACCCCACCTAACTACTGATTCCATAAAACCCTACCATATTTTTGCTGTCTCAGTAGAAGCGATCCTACTCCTTCCAGGAAGCCATGATAAACTATTTTCATTTAAAAAAGCAAACAGAATCAATGTTTGCTAAATGAAAAGGGACAAAAGCCATAGAAACTGGGTGATAACATCACTTTACCTTAGAATAGTATGGCAAGTATCGGAATCTGATAAAACAAAAAGATTCTCATTATTTTACGGTTAAATGCTTGACAACATTGCCCTTGGTCTCCCCAGCTTGACAGGGGTCAGTAACTCTACGAGCATGGAAAGTAGGAGAGGCTATGGGAGGGCATGAGGACCACCCCTGATCCTCACTGTACGCTTGGTGGCCACGGTCCTCAACACCCCGTACCTGGACCATCGGTAGGCGGTGGATGGGCCACCAGAAGCAGGAGCGTTCTTGTCCCGAGTCTCAGCTGTTCAGAGTCTAACCTGGGTTCGAGTCCCAGCTCTGCCTCCACCTGATTGTAAGAATTCAATGGTGTTCCCAGAAGTAAAGTCACCCCAGGTCAGTGGTCTTCCCACAGCTCTGTCCTGACCTCCATGTTGCTCACAGTTTTCTCTGGGTTCTGTAAATTCCCTTGTGCTCACTTTGCCTTTGCATTCGGGGCAACAGTTAACCAAGTGCTTTTTGCATTTACTCTTCATGACAACCCTGGGTAGTGGTTATTATGGCTACCCCCACCTTACAGATGAGGAAACTGAACTTCCTCAGCTACCTGAGTGGTGGAATCAACACTCACCCAGGCTCTGCCTCCACTCTAGGATACGGATTAGATGCCCCATCCTGAAGAGGAAGGGGATTGAAGGAGTAATACCAATAGCTGTTTTCACTTGTAAGCTGAACAGTTGATGAATGACTGTGGGAAGTTTTAGTTCACGAAGCATCACTACCATGTATCTCCTCTGCCCAAAGGTATAGACACACCTTTGCTCTTTCCCCTTCCCTTGCACAGAATAAAGGTGGCAAGGTCAAGCCCTCTTTGGCAGAATTGTTTGTAACATGTCTATCCTGAGTCACCCAACAGAGTGGGCAGGCATGTTTTTTCTAAAGCACTATTTCCCAAAGTGTGTTCCTTGGCATACCAGCTCTATAAGGTGAGGCTGTGCTGGTGGCGGCAGCAGCCGAGAGAGGGTTCCAGAGTCTAATAAATTGGAGAATGTTCCCATTTTGAAGATTCATCGTACACACTGGCATTTTAAATGCTCTGGGGAGTTCTATAATGAAGAAACCTATCGAACTTTCTTTGACCAGCCATTCCTGAATTTACTCAGTCATGGAATCTTTTTGGCCTAGAATACCTACTAACATTCTTTTGGGGAAAAATTCTTCTAAAAAATTCCCATTAGAGGGAAACTTCCATAAAACATTGTAATAGAATTCATCTCAGAGTATAGCTGAAGTAACACTCACTCCCCACTCCTCCCCACCCCTTGGTGTTCTCATTGCCATAAGGCCTGTGGTCTCCAATCTGGCCACTTGCTGGCATTTGTGAACCTCTCTCCAACACACAGTAACTTCTCAAGAACCTCTTCTGCCACCGTGCAAATAGACAAAGGCCAGGAGAGTCTCCTCCCACTGCCTCATTTAACTTCCCAGTTCCATGAATGATTCTAGAGCAAAGATTTGGAACATACCAGTGAAGTTTTTTGTACTACTTGGACTTAAAGAGATGACAGCTCCTCTCAAAAGGTTGGGTGTAGTTGTCCCAAATGTATCAGGAAATCTCTAACACAGAGACCATTGAGCTTTTTGGTCAGCCTCGCCTACAGTCACACCCCTCCTGGCTTTACCAGAGTCAGTGAGGCAGATCTTGGATGGAGGAGGGCTACTCTGAATTTCCTCAGTCTTCACGCCCAGAAATGGAGAAGGTGCTAAATGTGAAAGTTACTAAAACACGAGGTATAAGGTTTGCATCCAGTTTAGAAAGGATCTAGGTAAGATGTGAAGACCTCCTGACCAATCTCCACTTAAGGCCCCCGCCCAAGAACAAGAACCCTAAGTGTTTGTAAACATAACTTCCCATATCCATCAAAGCGGGGAGAGGAAGACTGAATAACTCAATGTCTGTCTTCTTTGGGGTTTGATCTCTTTTTAAAGACCTGAAGGCCTGCCAAGAGTGTGTGACTCTCAGATCTTCCCTTGGGCCCCTCTTCCTCCAGAGGGTCCCGCCTGGTCATTGGGAAACTGAGTGCACAAAAAGCCCCCTAGGGGATTGATCTCTGTGCTCTGGTTCAGCGCCTTCTTTGGCACCAAGCAGGCACGGGCAGTGTCACTATTTGGCACAGTTCTCAGAGAGAAAACCTAGGTGTTGCAGGAAGTATTGTGACTCAGGTGGTAACAATCATAATATTTAACATGTTTATAATGCTCTGTAGTTTCAAAGAGTATTTCACTCATTGCAACTTTAATTCGCCCGGGGCCTCAGGGAGTCTCCACTTTTAAGAGGCAAATAGGACACAGGAGGGTGACGTGCTGGAGGTCACATGGAGAATCCACAGCTGAGTCAGGATTAGGTCTTAAGTCTTGTTTCCTGTGCCAGGACGTGGTAAGATGGCACTTCTTTTTGCTCATTGCTTTTGGGTCTCTTTACTCGCAGGGCTTGGGGCTCAAAAAGAGGCAGAGGCCTGGTTGCTCTGTGAACTCCCCTGGGGGCTGTGCAACCTCAAGGTCTTTGCCGACAGGCCCTGGCTTCAAAGTCAGTTTGCCCCTTGAGCATTCAAGTCAGCCAAACTAGAATTCCAGTCAGTGGCCGCATTCAGCGTGTCTTAAATGGTCTCTTTGTGCGGTTCAAGAAAATTCATTCCAATGTCAGGCATCATAATACATCTTTGCAAGAGAGTATTATAATTCTTAAAGGAACAGGCACACATGTGTTTATTGACGCTCAAGTCTGGGTTTCCTTTCTCGTTCACTTTCCTACCACTGCTTGTCTTACGCTAGTTTGACATTTTCCCCTTGTTATATCCACTTGTCTTGGCAGTTCATAACTACTCAACTAACACATCCTTGCCCAGGTCTTGTCAGGGACACTGGCACCTCATGTAACGACTTGATTATTACAGCCCTGCACGATGATAAAGACCCGCATCTCACAAAGATGAGATATGGGGAGGGGAGAGAGATCAGTACATCTCAAGCCTGCTGCCTGCTTGCTTTCCGGTCTTTTTTAAAGACCTGAAGGCCTGCCAAGAGTGTGTGACTCTCAGATCTTCCCTTGGGCCCCTCTTCCTCCAGAGGGTCCCGCCTGGTCATTGGGAAACTGAGTGCACAAAAAGCCCCCTAGGGGATTGATCTCTGTGCTCTGGTTCAGCGCCTTCTTTGGCACCAAGCAGGCACGGGCAGTGTCACTATTTGGCACAGTTCTCAGAGAGAAAACCTAGGTGTTGCAGGAAGTATTGTGACTCAGGTGGTAACAATCATAATATTTAACATGTTTATAATGCTCTGTAGTTTCAAAGAGTATTTCACTCATTGCAACTTTAATTCGCCCGGGGCCTCAGGGAGTCTCCACTTTTAAGAGGCAAATAGGACACAGGAGGGTGACGTGCTGGAGGTCACATGGAGAATCCACAGCTGAGTCAGGATTAGGTCTTAAGTCTTGTTTCCTGTGCCAGGACGTGGTAAGATGGCACTTCTTTTTGCTCATTGCTTTTGGGTCTCTTTACTCGCAGGGCTTGGGGCTCAAAAAGAGGCAGAGGCCTGGTTGCTCTGTGAACTCCCCTGGGGGCTGTGCAACCTCAAGGTCTTTGCCGACAGGCCCTGGCTTCAAAGTCAGTTTGCCCCTTGAGCATTCAAGTCAGCCAAACTAGAATTCCAGTCAGTGGCCGCATTCAGCGTGTCTTAAATGGTCTCTTTGTGCGGTTCAAGAAAATTCATTCCAATGTCAGGCATCATAATACATCTTTGCAAGAGAGTATTATAATTCTTAAAGGAACAGGCACACATGTGTTTATTGACGCTCAAGTCTGGGTTTCCTTTCTCGTTCACTTTCCTACCACTGCTTGTCTTACGCTAGTTTGACATTTTCCCCTTGTTATATCCACTTGTCTTGGCAGTTCATAACTACTCAACTAACACATCCTCGCCCAGGTCTTGTCAGGGACACTGGCACCTCATGTAACGACTTGATTATTACAGCCCTGCACGATGATAAAGACCCGCATCTCACAAAGATGAGATATGGGGAGGGGAGAGAGATCAGTACATCTCAAGCCTGCTGCCTGCTTGCTTTCCGGTCCCATCAGATTTCTCAACAATCTGAATGACCCAATATTAAGGTGTGAATTTTCCCACCCTGGTATGCCTAAAAGTCTCAGGAAAACATTTGTTTAGTCCACTCTGTGCTGGCAAAATTGGTTTTGGATGGGCAGGCCCTGAGCACTCCTTAGCTTGTCTTTGCACTCTGGCAATGTGTAGCAGTAGGGAAAAAATGACTTAAGACACTGTCTCCACTTTACACGCCTGAAATCTGAGGAGGCGGTTACTCTCCTAACTAGAATCACGGGCCTGTGGAGAGAAGAGACTGGAGATCCGATATATGATTATGCAATGAAGGAAGGAAATTACTGATCAGGTAATGGCCTTACTCAAAGAAGGGGTTCTTACCATAGAGGGAAAAGTGCATGTCCCTTTCTTAGACAACGAGACACTGTTGGACACTGGAGATTGGTGAATGACATTGTAAAACCCAGGACCTGGGATGTCATCCTGAAAGGGAAGAGAAGGTGGCTGTCATCAGAATGCATTCAATCCCACTGCACCTTCCTGCAAGCCTTACATCCGTTAACACTAAGCCTCACCATAATCCCCCAAGACGGGCACCACTGCCACATCCCAGCTGACCGCCTGGTCCACCATTTCCTACCCTGCCCAGTCACCATCTCAGTTACTAAGGCTGGAGCTAGAATTCCATCCCGGGTCTGGAACCCCCTGGTCTCTTCCCACTACGCTGTCCTGCATTCCAGAGGAAAGCTGTTGTTTTTCATGCCAATAGAGACATGAGCACCGAAAGGGCTAAGTGTGGCCCATGTGCACGTCAGCGTGTATTGATTGGGTAAGCCAAACCTGCGGAGAGGGAAGGGTGCCCGATTTCACGTTAACCACACCCCGCCTGACTCAGCTTCCTCCTCAGACTTCCAGAGAGAAGTCAGGGAGTGTTTCTGTTTATAAAGCAAAATGAAACAAAAACAACCTTCATCCAAAACAAGACCATTTCTAATTCTCAGACAAAAGAAGATGGGCTCAGAGGCTCAAGAGCTAAATGATACAGGTATGTTGGAGAGGAACAAACAAAAGCTTGATTCCTAAGCTCATTTCTGCTGTCGCAGTTAACTGGAGTTTTGGCTCTGTTCCCATGCTAGTTACTTAGGGGAAATAAATGTTGACAGAAGTTGGCCAAGCAGGTGGCATGGAATGATAAGGATGCCCAGCTGTCTCAAGAGTTTACTGGGTGCCTAGTTGGTGCTAGGAGCTTTTCAAAGCTTGTTTCATTTAATCCTGCAGTGAGGAAGGGATTGTCCCCATTTTATACATGGACACGCTGAGGCACATGAAGATGGATTTGCCCTAAGTCCCACTGCTGTTTAAGTGTAGGTATCGGAATTCAGTGCTAAGTGCACAGTGAACAAAAGCCCTTTGCAGTGGGAATATTATCAGGTGCATGTTAAGGAAAGTGAGGCCCAGAGACGTTGGGTCCACTGTAAATGGTGAAGCCCAGATTGAGACCTAGGCAGCCTGACTCCAGAGCTTGCTAGCTCCAACCTCTGTCGCCTTGGCTCGTTCTGTCTCCACCATCCCCACTGCCTTCCCGGGGGCAGAAAGCAAGCACAGGGTGCCGTCAGGGCCTTCAAGGACTTTCCGGTCTGGCCCGATCAGTGTGTGCTACGTTTAGGGTAAGCCATAGGGCGATCAGTGTGGTTCACGGCTTCTTCTGTGCTGACTTTAAAGTGCTGTGAATCCTTTGGGCCTTGCTTTGCTGTGGTCGGAGGCGGGGTCACTGATTCCTGCTTCGCAGGTGATGATATCTGGCAGACAAGGCTGGGGCTGACTGCCCGGGAGAGTGAGGCACGTCGCAAGAGGTCAGCAGACCCAGTTGCATGGACACCCCAGGCCAAGTTCAAAAGAACCCAGGCAGGTGGGTACAGACTCAAGGGCCTGGAGGGCAACAAGGAAGAGGTTTTTGTAGGGAACTATTTGTAGAGCCAGCATGTATTGACTGAGTGGTCACTGTGTGCCAGGCACTGCTCTGCGTACCTTACATGCACTCACCATTTAATCCCCATTTTAAAGATGAGAAGACAAGGCCAAAGGAGATAAGGCCCCAAGGTCACATAGCTAGTAACTGTCAGAGTCAGAATTTGATCCCAGGCAGTTTTAGTACCACCTGCTCTTTTTTTTTTGAGGTATAATTGACATATAACATTATATTAGTTTCATATGTACAACGTGATTTGATATTTTATACACATTTTGAAATGATCACAATGATAAGTCTAGTTACCATCAGTCACTGTCATACATAGTTCCAAAATCATTTTTTCTTATAATGAGGACTTTAAAGATTTACTCTCTTAGCCACTTTCAATATTCAATACAGTGTTATTACTATAGTCACCATGCCATACATTACATCCCCATGATTTTATTTATTTTATAACTGGAAGTTTGTAGCTTTTGACTCCCTCTACCCATCCTGCCCACCGCCACCCCTCCCTGCCTCTGGCACCTCCAGTCCTTCCATCCACTCTTAACCACGAAGCCAAACTCAAATGTCAGATGAGAAGAAAACATCCGCTGAGTTTTGAATCAGAAGTTCTAGTCTCTGCTGCTACCAGCTAAGTGACATTGAGCAAGTCACTTCTCTGGGCCTTAGTCTCTTCATTTGTAAATCAAAAGTGTTGGGCTGAATGCCTGTAGGCTTCTTTTAACTTCCAGAGCCCCCAAACTGAGGAAAAGCTGAGGCAAGAAATGTAACTGAGACTCTTCTAGGTTGAACAGTGGAGCGTGAAGATGTGCATCTCTAGCTCCGGGTCAGTCACCACACTCAGCACCATGAGTTCACAAGAGTTTTCTGGGCTCCTGTATCTGTCTGAGAAGTCAGGGCTGCAGATAAAATGCAAGGTTGCTCTATCCCACCCTGCCCAGTTAAATCTGAATTGCAGATAAACAACAAAAAGTTATTTTAGTGTAAGTATGTCCCATGCAACATTTGGGATATACTTAAACTAAAATAGTTTGTTATTTACCTCAAATTCTAAATTAACTAGGAATTCTACATTTTTTTTATGTGCTTAATTTGGCAACCCCACTGGGCCTTAACTAGGTTTTAGTACTGCCACACTGCAAACTGGTTTGAGTCCAAGCCTAATAAGAAAAGGACTGTCGCCTCTTAGCCTGGAGGGACAGAGTTCTGCTGTTTGCTCTTAATGAATGTTCAAGGAAAGTCCTCCAGACCACGGGATGCTGGAGCTGGCCAGCAGCAGTTTGTGAGGGAGAACATTAAAAATTCAGAAATTTTGCTGGTGGTAGCTTGAAACTGGCCAGGGCAGAGTAGGAATGCCAGAGAAAGCGGCGAATGCTATAATCAGTACTTGTCTTTGTGGAGGGGAAAGCATTAGCTCAGTGTGGAAGGTTTACCAGCACGCCCGCACCGTCACATGACACCCGAGTAGGTGTAGGAGCTACCTGGAGGGAAATGGCCCACCAGAGAACTCAGGCCTTCTCCTGCCACTGCTGGAGGGGTGAATGGCTCTCTGGAAGGGCAATAAAAATCCAGAACTTCCACCTTTGGGATAAAACTTGCGTGACTAATGTGTTGTGACTTTGATGAGTTTAGTCCTTTTGGAGCATATCCCAGAGAACAAGAATCCAAGAGGCAGTGGTGTGAAGTTGGTTTGGTTTCTTGGCCAAGACCACCCCAGAAGACAAAAACCAACCAACGAAATGGGTGTGGGCAGGGAGAAGGGAAGAGGGGTATGCATCTGAGCCCTGCCGCCTGCCTGCCGGGTTGCCTACTGGAAGCGCTGTGCCAGCTGCTGTGTGTGTTGTCCCCTGTGCCCGCCTCACAGCGTGAGGACTGAGTGAGTCAGCATGTGCACAGGGGTTCGAGCAGTGCCTGCCTTTGTGCTCTGTGGCCAAGGTCACTACCACTCTTTGCACTACCCATAACAGCCTCAGTGGAGCCAGAACCTTCCCTCAGGGGTAGATACCTTCCGAGTAGGACTGAGCAAGGGATGATGAGGCTCCTGTGCTCCCATCTGCCGCCCAACACTCATCTGGGTAGCATTTGGCTCAAATGCACTTTGAGAGCTCTTCTGGAGGATTTAAAGTGCCAAATGGCAGCCTCTGCATGTGCCAAAGCCGGGTCACAGATCTACATTCACCTGACCTTGGGATAGGTTTAGAGAGGTAATGAGGAGGGGTGGGGGGAGAGAGGGCAGGGCATTTAGCTCCGCACCCCAGGTATCTCCATAGGTTATGGGGGAGCTCAACATCCCACAGCCTGGAGCCAGGGATTTCTGCACACAGTCTGGACTTTCTAGTCTTGATTGCATAAATTCTGGCTAATTAATACTGTCATGTTTGTCAAATCAATGGCTTGTCAAGCCATTTCTGCCTGGGAAATGCAGCTGCTGTTGCCTCCCTGGCTAGAGACCACGGTGGAGCGGCCTTCCGACTCCTCAGAAATGCTCTCCCTTGCTCTGGTCTCCTTCTGGGGTGGCTCCCTGGTGTTTCTCAGGAGTGCACAAGATGAATGAAAACTAGGACTGCGCAAGGGCTGGAGGTACCTAGGAGGAGGAGGACGCGCCTGGGGTGGAAGCAGAGCCCCGTCCTGTGGTTCATTCATTGGTGAAACCACTCAGGACTTTGGGGCTCCTGAGGGAACTACTTCCTTTTCCAAATGCCTCTAGTCTTAGGGTCTTGGGACAATACACCCATCCACCCTGTTGACCTCATCAAAGGCTAGAAAGCCTTTATTCAGGTTGATGCGGCTGAGGGTGAGGAGGGCATGGATCAGAGGGCAGGAGCTGGCACCTGCCCCCCCACTGGGCCTCCATTCTGTGAACCTGCAAAGAGGCATGTGGGAATGTCAAGATCTGTGGTTTTTCCAACTGCCCTCCAGGCCTCCCTGAGGAACCCAGGGCAGGGGTGCCAGTGTTGGCAGCGACTTCCAGCAGCAGCTCCCTTGACCTGATTGAGCGTGAGTGCTGTCCCAGAGAGGGGCCCCCTGCTGAGCCCAGGGGTCCGGGGTCACTGAAGCCCTTCTGGCTCACACTGTCTGCACCTCTGAGATCTGTCCCCTGTAAGCTGCCCCTCTCCTTCTCCTACTTTACACACTGAAGTCTGGCATCAAAGTTCCCAAGCCTCTGATCACAGATGAAAAGGGGGAGGCATCGAGCATACTTCACATAAGAAAAGAGGACTTTTTTGTTCAGAATGGGGGAGGATGTCAGAAATGAAAGGTCCCAGGACCCCTAAGGGACCAACCAGGAAAACTAGGATGAGTTCTCTTCAGTAGATTTTCTTAGTTGCCCAAGAGAAGAGTAAGTGTGGGGGAGACAAGGGCAGCGGGAACCGCGGCCACCTGGGAAGGTGAGGATGGGGTGGGCCTCTGCCCACGGCCAGCCTGACAAGCTTGGAAACACAGACAATGTTTGACAAGAGGCCAAACTCGCATTTTTGAGGCACCGTTCACCGTGCACCGTGTCTGAGAGCACCCGTGCTCCCCTTTTCAGAGCCCTCTTCAATCTGGTATCGGCCTCCTAGCAGCCCCCTAAAGCCCCCTGAGTGGAAGAGCAGGCACAAACTCAATTCACAAACGTGCTGAAACCTAATCCAGGGTTACTATGAGGATTAAATGAGTTAATAAGTGCAAAAGTCTTCAAGGTCCTGTGGCCCAAGGCTTCTTCTGAGGCATGAAGTTTATAGGCACAACATGTTAGCAGCTCACAAATTCTAGGAATTGGTTGGAGACATGGCAGAACGGTGCAAAACGGATGGGGTGTGTTCAGGTGACTCGTGAGATATGCATAGACTTGAATTGGGGTCATTTACTCAATTCACTTTTGAGGGGCCTTGGGGTCTGCAGAGGAGAGCAATGATGGCTGGCAAGGAGTTCCCAGGCAGGAGGAGGTAAGAGGTGCACACCCGTGTCCATTACACCAAGCAGAGCGTAGCCAGGAGAATGAGAACAGCTGTGGGATTTAGAAGAGGGTGCTTGTTTCTACCCAGCTAGGAGCCGGGAAACAGAGTCCTGGAACCGAGAACTGCTGCCTGGGTTCTTCCAGGCTCTGCCTGTGACTGTGCAAGTTACTTAACCCTCTTTGCATCCCAGGGTCATTATCTGAAAAGTGGGGATAATGATGGGACTTAGCTCATGGGGTTATTATGGAAATTAAATGCATTAATAAATGCAAAAGCCTTCAAGGGGTGCCTGGCACACAATCAGTGCCAGCCAAGTGTTTGCTATTTCCAGGAACGTGTCCTGCAGACCCCTTAGGAAGGGGTTGCTGGTGACTGATAGGGACAAGTCAGGCTTTTGGAGTGGGAAGGTTGGGCAGACCCCACTGTGGCCCAAACATGCAGCAGAAGTACACTTTGGGTAATGATCCCGTTGAACATGGTGGTGTCTGCAAACCGAACTTCCTTCCATTTAAATATCCCTGACAGAAAATATTGCTGGTCCAGCGCCTTATCAAGTTAATAAGTGAATAGTACTTTTTGTACAATTTCACCACAAATTAAATACTGGCCTTCTTACCATTTGGGAGGGCCACTTTACTGGCAGGCTATGTATGAAATTGATGTGTATTTTTAAATTGCACCCATCTAAAGGAAATGGTGCCCATATCTTACCAGCATTCATTCATTTGAGCCTGGAAGGAATCAATAAGGGTTAGAATCAAGGAACAGTAATCCCTGGCAAGGGCCTACCTATGGTAACATCCTTTTTTTTTAAGATGAGGAAACAGCTGCAAAGACATTCAGTGGGTGTCCTTAGTGTGACATAGCTTAGGAAACAGTGACCACCATCCGGGGTGAGATGGGGACAGAAACAGGAAGGCAAGGGAAGAAAACGTCCACCAGGCTACTGGGCTATGCTCTGTCCCAGATTAGGCATGTCTCTTCATGTGCACAGAGTCACCAGCACATCTGTAAATAATTGTACAATGTTCAGAGAAGCTGATTTAATTTCCAGCAGCAAAAATTGCCAGTCTGGACACTGAGCTCTGTGAAGGATTCCTTGTACCCAGCAGTCCTCTTGGGGAATGTGAGCTGGGCGACTGAGGCCCTGATGTGTCCCTACAAAGTTAGACCGCTAAGGTAAGTGCACATTTCAAAGGGCACGGAGTCTCTGCATTAAAGGTGTGCTAAGTGGGTCACAGAGCTAATGTGAAGACACAACCGAGTCATGAGATCAGGCACAGGGTGTGTGCGATTGTTTCAAGAAGGATGGTTTTAAAATGTGGAGACACTGGAGTTTTAAAATCTGCTTTTAATTTGTATTACCTCACAAAATTATTGGGTGATGTTGAATGAGATCCTTAACTTCTCAGTGCCCATTTCCCTCAAGAAAAATGAGAATAGTGAGCATGGAATAAGACTTTTTTTCTGTTTTTATAGCTGCAAGAATGTAAAAAATTATATAATCTAAATTTTACATTTCAGAGGAGAACGTGAAACCCAGAAAAGCTGTGACTAGTCTAAAGGCGCACAGCTACTAACAGAGCAGAATGCCAGGAACCTTATTTATGGACCCCCTGCCCTTTCCACAAAATTCCATACTTAACTCACAAAATGCTTTCAAATACTTAAACGAAAGCCTTCCCACTGCTACCCAACGTGACCACATTTGAAAAGCACAAATCGAATTTCTGAGCTATTTCTGTATTTGGCGCTGCCTATGGCTTTGGCTGGCTGCCACCTTAGATCTTGAAGCAGAAAGTTTTTGGAAAAGCAATAGTAGTTTAAAATGCTGACTTTTAAAAAGCAGCCCTTCTGGTTTCTGGCTTTGAGTCTTCAACACTAGATCATGCAGAGCAGGGCCCACACATATTATTTGACATCTTCGCTATCTTGAGCTCGGTCTGTTTGGCTAAGGCCTTTTCAGAAACATGTGCGCTGGCTTTCATAGATCAAATTTATGGCTTTGCAGGCCACAAAAGGAGGTGTGGCGCAGTGTGTGGAAAGAGCATGAGGCTTTGGAGTGAACTAGACCTGGGTTTGAGGTCTAATTCTTTCAATGTTGAGTCAGCAAATATTTAGGCAGGGCCTTTTATGTGTCAAACCCTGTGTTGTGTGACCTCAGTTGGGTCCTTTAACTTCCTTAAGCCTCGGTTTCCTCTTCTGTTCAATTAAGATAATAAACCTTTTCTTTTAGCAATATTTTAAGGATTAGTGATATGGTCTAAAAGTGATTTCATACATAGCAGGGATCAGTAAATGGCTGCTGTTATTTTTATTGGAGGCTGGGTAGCAAATACCCTAGAGATGGTCAATATGTTACCATTAAATTGACAATGGGACACCAGTCAGAGAAGAGACAGACAGACAGATAAAACAGAGAAACCAGAGGGAGAAGAGAAAAATCCTGACCAAATAGCTTATTTACCTTCTTTGGGGAGAACCTACAAGTAATTAAAAATATGTATTTCTGTGCATATATACACACACTATATTCTTTATTATTTGTTTTCTTGGAATCCTAAAATATCAGAAGAGAAAAGAGCTTAAATGTTCTCTAGTTCAGCATTCTTACAAAGAAGGAGCAGGCGGAGTGGCACACTGGGACTGGCTGAGACCCCTGGACTCCAGCTGGACTCTCCTGTGTTCAGAACCTAGAGCCCACCTTCACTCCCGCCATCATGGCAAGGTGGTAGGATTAAAAGCATTTTTAGAATGAAGCAAAAGGTAACTGAGATGATGACTCCTCCCAAAGAATGTTATTCTAAAGGCCTTGGTTAAATGAATAAAGGAATGAAGATTTTACAGATGACTCTAAGAACGTCTGTGACCCACTTCAGCCCCCTGCTGGTGGAAGGGGGGAAGGTCGGGCCTTCAGCCGCGTGAAATCACCTAAATAGGAGCCAAGCAGAACTTTCCAGATCAAACTGGAAAACAGACACAGAGGTCTTTGGGGAGGAGAGGGAGGATGGGGGAAATACAGAAATACAGGAGCAGTGATAACACATTGTCCAAGGAATTTTAAAAAGAGGGACACCCTCATCACAAAGGTAGTTTTAAATTTATTACTTTCATTTTTCCTCAACGATAATGGAAGAAAGTTATCGCCTCTCATGTTATAAGGAGTGAAGCTGGGGGAGGCAGAGGAAGTAATTTTTACTTTTTTACTTTATATACCTGGGGTTTAAAAATTTTTTATAATAATTTTAAAAATACATTCCTTCTTTAAAAACTTTTCTTTTTTGGTTCATCGTGGCACTATAAGTCTGGCCATGGTTGTTTTTCCTTGAGTTTAATCTGATCTGCTGCCCATTCTTACAATACAGTCAGAGCCCACAGCTGGAGACGGTGCCGTGGCTCCTTGTTCGACACTGCCCTCTGCTGGCCGGAGGGACAGCTGCACGAGCCAGATCAGCATGTCCGTGAGGCTTAAATCCAGACCAAAGGTACAGAATCTCTAAAACAATGTCATTACCTTCTTATGATAAAATCTCTTGGCTTGACTATTAAATCCTTTTTTTTCTGCTTCTGGAATTACTGACCTCTGGTGTTCAAAAGGAATAGAAGATTGTGTTGGATATGCAGCAGTAAAACCTAAACAACAAAAGTAAATAAAAATTAGCACAAAGAAATGACAAATGCAGAAAACACAACGCTGTATTTCTAAATTTTATTTTAAATGGACGAGGAGAGAAACTTTCCTTTTGACAGGAGGCAAAGACGGAACCGGATTTTTAAAAAAGTATACCCCACTTAGCTTTCTTTCCCTCTTAGCAATTTATTGGGTTTTCCCCCCTCCTCTTCATAAACTTGTGAGGCTTGGTCACATTGCTGAAGCCTACTGTCCCAGAGAAGGAAGGCTCTAACAGGGGAGAGGGGCTTGCCAATCAGGAAGGGGACACAAAACCATTCTGGAGCAGCCTGGAAGAGGAGATGGGCACTCATCCTGGACCCGGGGTCACACCTCAGCAAAGCCCCCTGGAGATCCTGAGAGGTGGGGAAATCCCAGAGAGGGACCTGCTCTCACTTTTCAGGGCACTGTGCAAGGCAAGTATAAACTCAGGTTTCTGCTTTGAGCAGACATGCGGTTAAAAAGCAGAAGAGGATCATTGAAGTTAATGAAGTGAAAATGTTACATGTCTGGGCTGTGATGTATAGATGATACGTAAACTGCCCTCTCCCTCCTTCCATTCCCCACATGTGGGAGGATGTCAGGCGCTTGTTAAGACCCCCCAGGAAGCATCTATCTGCTACAGCATTGTGATTACAAACCTGAACCTGCAAGTGTAATAGATTCTGACTCCATTTTTCAATGTTTGCCTGCTAATAACATTTAACCTTCACCCCTCCCTCTTCCCCTTCTGACCATGTCTGGGTAAGCTGATGAGAAGACCTGGAGGCTCCCTCCTTTGGTAGTGACTAGAAAGAAGCTCAAACCATGCAAACCCCTGCCCTCACTCCAGCCCCACCTCCTAACCACAATAAAACCCCAAGCCAGTCTCTCTTCCCTGCTTTCTCAAGCCATTTTTGGACCAGATTAGGAAGCCTGCCCTGCTCTCCCCAGAAAGCCTCATGATGGGAGTAATAAACCTTTTCATATCCTTGTGATCTGTGTGTGTCATCGTCAGTCTTGACATCCAAGCTAAATTTTGAGTGGGAGTCTATCTTGACTTTGTGGATGTGCACAAAAGTGAGCCAAATTATCTCAACACCATAGCTTAACCTTCCGAGAGAAAATGAGTGCAGAAATTGGAAAAAGCCAAGAAAAAGAAGGGATTTGTTAGGGTGGGGTGAGGTTACACAAGAAGTGTCTTTAAGGCCCATTTCTTAGTCTCTGCATTTTTGAAAAAACAAAACTGCCTTTCAGAGAGGGAAGCCCATTGCCAATACAGGTACCCTCAGGAACTACTATTATGAACCAGTTTTACAGATGAGGAAACTGAGGCTTAGAGGGATTAAGTTACTTGCCCAAATCACACAGTTATTAAGCGGAACAGCTGGGTTTGAGCAGTTCGTCTAACGCACCAGGCTCTTAAGCTTCGAACTGTGCTCCCTCTTCCTGAGGCCCGTGGTAAGGCGTCTATAAACAAATGAATGAAATAATGGGGAGGGGGCAGTCCGGCCTAATTTGCCTGGGTGTAGGAAGCAGCGAGTAAGAGAATCAGAATGTATGTTTGGTTAGAAAACATTTGGAGGTATCCACATAAGGTACACTTACTCTTTTCTTCCCTTCTTCCTTTCAAGTGGGCAGATGGCTATGTACTTTTCTTTAAGGGAGGTAGAGACCAGATCAGAAATAAGGAAACACAAGGCTTCCTTGCTGTTGTTTCCAAAAGCCTGAGTTCCTGGAACATCTGAAACAGTGTACAGAGGAGGCAGTAAAGAAAGGGGGGTTATTTTGAAAAGGGCAAAAGGAAAGACATTCCCCTGGGGGAAAGAAAGATTTCTCCTTGACTAAAAAGAAGATCAGACACTTCGGCTTCTAGCTGCAGTAGAATGGCATATATTGAAGCAACCTTCTTGATGACAACAACCAGAAAAATAAGGTTTTTAAAAAACACTCTGGATGACTGAACTTCCATTTCCCACCAAAATAGGACTGATTTGCCCTCTTGGCTGAAAAACAATGTTTAAAAATGCACAAAATATATGTAACAATGGTTTTCAAGACAACGGGCATCAGGCAACAAAGGACAGGGAATGCCTGGAGAAACTTCCAGGCCACAGCAGAGACAGAAGGAAGCCAGGGGAAGCCTGGGGGCTCTCCTTGAGCTCAGGAAATCGATATGGGAGAGTAGGAAGGCCAGGCAGCCAGAGCGCACAGGTCAAACGGAGAGCTACGCAGAGAAGGAGCTCTGGAGCTCTGCCCTGGGCTCTTCACAAGTCGTTTCCGGAGTACTGACCAGTACATGTGAGAAAACTACCCTGGGCTGGGAAAAACTAGGCTGAAAGAATTAGGTGAACAATACCTGAACACCAGGTACAGGAAGAGCTTAGAGCCAACTAGGAATAGCTCCTGTTCCCCTGTGTCAGGGCGGAAAGCCCCATAATTCATGGAGCATAACATAGAATACACAGAAGGGTTTTACTTCAGAATTACCTGGGCTAAATGTTGCTCTGGCTCTAGCTAACAAAGCTTAAGAGCAAGACTTGAAGAGATCAAAGTGTTTCCAAATCTTTTAGTGGCATCCCAAAACAAATCACATGAATTTACAAGACTACAAAAGTATATTGCTCCCAGCAGATAAAACTTAAAATATCTGGCATTCAATAAAAAAAAGGAATAGCCATGCAAAGAAGAAAGAAATGCAATTCAAAATGAGGAGAAAATTAAAAATCAGTCAAAACAACTTAGAAATGATACAGAAGAGGGAATTACAAGAATAATTTAACCACTATGGTAACTGTATTTGCTGTGTTCAGGAAGCTAGAGAAGAGATTAACATATTAAGTAGAGATGTGGAAGATATAAAATATCCAAATCAAACTTTAGAAGATGAAAATTAAGATGCCTGAGATTAAATGCACTAAATGCGATTAATAGTAGACACTGCAGACAAAAAGACTAGTGAACTTGAAGACACTGAAATAGAAACTATACCCCCCCCCAAAAAAAACACAGAGAGAAAAAGGTTGTTGTATATGACAACAATGTAAGCTCTGTGACAATTTCAAGGAGCCTAATATAAATGTAACTGGACTCTCCACAGAAGAGATGTGGGCAGAGAGGAAACAGAAAAATATTGCAAGAAAAAAGGGCTGGAATTTTTCCAAGTTTGATAACAACTTTGACCCACAGATCCGAGAAAGTCGATGAACTGTGAGCACATAAAATATGAATAAAACGATACCAAGGCACCTAATAATAAATTGTTTTTTCAAAATGCTAAAGAGAAAATCTCAAAACCCGACAGAAAGAAAAGACACATGATATACAAAGGATCAAAAATAAGAATGACAGCTGGAAACAATGTCTTTAAGGGCTGAAAGGAAAAAACTATCAGCCTTGAATCTGTACTCAGTAAAAATAACTTTCAAAAACTAAAGCGAAATAAAAACTTAAAGATACACCACAAACTGCAAGTACAAGAAATGTTAAAGGAAGTCCTTCAGGCAGAAGAAAAGTAATACTAGTTGGAAATCTGGATCTATGTAAAAGAGTAAGAGCTCTGGAAATAGTAAATATGTGGATAAATATAAAATGCATACCGATTGATACATTTAGATTTAAGTATAAAATTTAAATCATTTTAAACATGATTGACTAAAGCAAAATAGTAACAGTGTATTGTGGGATTTACAATGCATGTAGGAGTAAAATGTTTGGCAGCAGTAGCACAAGGGCAAGAAAGGGAAAAATAAAAATATGGTATTGCAAGGTTCTCCTGCTACATTTGAAATATTATAATACCACCTCATGGTATTATAAGAATGTGATAAGTGAAAGATGTATATTATAAACTCTATAGCGGGGTTCAGCAAACTGTTTCTATAAAAGGCTAGAAAGTAACTATTTTAGGCTTTGCAAGCTACATAGTCTCTGTTGCAACTACTGAACTGCATTATGGGTGAAAGCAGTCATGGACAATACATCAACAAATAGGGGTGACTGTGTTCCAGTAAAATTTAATCCATAAAAATAGGTAGCAAGTCAGATTTGGCCAAAGGCCAAAGTTTGTCAGTCTGCTCTAAAACAACCATTAAGAAACCACTGCAAAGAGTTATTCCTAAAAAGCCAACAAAGGAGATAAAAAAAGAAAGAAACAAACAAATAAACAAAATGCTCACTACAAAAGAAGGCAGAAAAGGGAAGTAAAGAACAGATGGGCCAAATAGAAGGCAAGTCTCAGGACGGTTGAGTTAAATTCCACCAATATTCACATTAAATTTAAATAGTCTAAATATCCCAATTCAAAGACAAAGATGGTCAGATTGGATAAGAAAGATCTAACTTATGCTGCAAAAAATATACTTCAAATATAATCCCAGAAATAGGGTAAAAGTAAAAGAATGGAAACAGATACACTATACTAGCACTAATCAAAGGAAGCTAGATATTAGTATCAGACAAAACAGATTTCAGTACAAAAATATTACCTGCAATAAAGAGGGTAAAAACCAGTCAATCTCCCAAGAGACCATAACGATCCTAAATGCTGGTACACCCAAAAACAGGAAACTCAAAGTGCAGGAAGTAAAAATTGGTAGAACTGCCAAAATAAATAGAAAATTCCATAATTACAGCCGGGGATTTCAAAATCCTTCCCTCAATAATTTAAACAAGTAGATACAAGATCAGTAAAGATACACAAGACTGGAACAATACTATTATCTAACTTGACCTAAATGACATTTATAGAACTTTCCACCCATCATTTCTATATAATCTATCCCAGAAAATTGAAGATGGTAAGACATTTCCCAACTCATTCTACAAGGCCAGCAGTACCCTGACACTAAAAACCAGAAGGGGCAGGGGGAATCACTACAGATCAATAACCCTCATAAAAACATATGCATAAATTCCTAGAAAAATTTTAGTAAATTAAATCTAACAAAATAGAAAAAAAGACAAATACATCATGACCAAGTGGGGTTTATCCCAACAATGTAAAGAGAGGTTAACATTTAGAAATCAATGTGATTCAACATATTGACAAACTCAAAAAGAAAAATTGTATGATCATCTCATAGATGCAGAATGGAATCATATAGTTTGTATTCTTTTTTGTCTGGCTTCTTTTACTCTGCATAATTATTTTGAGATTCATCCATGTTGTTGAAGTATCAATGCACCATTGCTTTTTATTGCTGAGTGGTATTCCACTGTACAGAAATGTAACAATTATTTATCCATTGCTGGTGGAACTTTGAGTTGTTGTCTGTTTGGGGGTATTATAAATAATTGTTATCATTCCACTGCAAGTCTTTGAATGGACACGTTTTCATTTCTCTTGCATAAATACTTAGGAGTGGAATGGTTGGATCATATGTTTCACTTTTTAAGAAACTGCCAAACTCTTTTCCAAAGTTGTACCCTTGTTTATCCCCACTATTAGGGAATGAAAGTTATAGTTAGTTCACATCTTCATTAGCAATGGGCAGTCTTTTTAACTTCAGCCGTCCAATTAGGTATGTAGTAGTATCTCACTGTGGTTTTAACTTGCATATCTCTAGAGAAATTTCAAAGATAATTTTTCTAGGAATCTCTGTATGTATGTTTGTGAAGGTTATTGCATATGAACATATGTAAGAAGTAAATTGTTTTTGATGAAGTCTGTTTAGTAGATAGAGAAAGCACTTCAAAACATCCAGTACCCTTGTAGGATTAAAATAAAAAACAAACAAAAATAGACTCTAGCCAACTAGAAGCAAATTTCTTTAATCTGATAAAAGATATCTATGTCAAAATTCCCTAGCAAACATGATACTGAATAGTGAAATATGAAAAGCTTTCTCCTGAGCTAGAGAATGAAACTAGGATGCCTGCTATCATAGTTCTGTTCAGCATTGCACTGAAGGACTCCTACCAGTACAAAAGCCAAGAAAAGTAAATAAAAATATATGGATCACAAAGGAAGAAATAAAGCTGCCATTATTCACAGGTGACAAGATTTTACATGGAGACATTATAAAAGATTCAATATATAACCTATCAAATATAATAACTGAATTTAGCTAGACCATTATAGTCAATATATAAAATCAATTTGTTTGATTTCTATACCAAGAGCAAACAACTAGAAAGTGAAATTAAAATATTACCATTTGTAACAGTATAAAAACCAAATGCCTAGAATAAAGAAGATAGGAAAGATCTCCATATAGAAAACTATGAAGCATTTTTGAGAAAATTTTAAGAAAACAAATAAAAGGATATACATAGGTGGGAAAACTCAATATTGTTGATATAAATTATCCCTACATTGGTTTCTAGCATCAATGCAATCCAAATCAAAATGACAGTAGGGATTTTTATTTTTAGAACATTAATGAGCTGATTCTAAAATTTATATGGAAATGCACTGGGGCCAAGAATCACCAAGAAAAACTGCAAAGTTGAAGGACTTACATGACTAGATAAAAGACTTGTTATAAAGTTGTAGTAATTAAGACAGTACAGTATTTGAACAGAATAATCTAGAAGCAGACATGCATATACATAGACACTCACTTGATTTATAACAAAAACAGCACTCCAGAGTAACAGGAAAAATGCCCTTTCAGTAAGATGCTGGGTTAATTGGATACGCATATAGAAAACATCAAAATGTTACATTTCAAATGAATTGTAGGTCTAGACATGAAAGGTAGAATGATGCAGTTTTTAGAAGTAATTATTTGGGGGTAGGCAAAGATTTCTTAAATAGGACAGACATACACACTAACAAAAAAAGAAAAGATTAATAAATTGGGCTGTATTATTCTTTTTATTTGCACACTATTAAGAGTGTACAGGAAAGTCACAAACTGAGGGAAGATATTTATTTTACCTATAGCCAACAAATGGATTCATCTCTAGGATGGTTTAAAGGAGGCTTAAAAATAAGCAAAATCCAACAGGAAAAAAAATGGGCAAAAACTTCAACAATCAATTCTCCAAAGAGAATATTCTAAAGGTCAAACAACATGAAAAATTGCTCAATCTCATTGATCAAAGCGCAATGCAATTAAAACCATTACAAGTTACCAATGCTGGGGAGGAATTGCAGCAACTAGTATTCTCATATATTGCTTGTAAGGAATTAAACTTGGCAAAACTACTTTGGAAAACTGTTTGGCAGTATCAACGAAGCTGATCAAATGTGACCAGCAAGTCCACTCCCAGCTATAAACCCATAAAATACATTCATGTATATCCCAAAAGACATGTTTAAAAATAGTTATGAAAGGTTTTATTAATAGTATCCCCAAACTGGAAACAACTCAAACGCCCTCCAATAGTAGAATGGATAAATAAATTGTGGCATATTCAAAGAAATAAAAACTTTATAGTAGTGAAAATGAACTAATTACTGATACATGACACATGGAGTTAAATCTCTCAAACATGAGAAAAAAGCTTAAGAGAAAGGAATTCATATCGTATGATTCCAATGTATATAAAGTGAAAAAACCGACTGAACTAATTAATGATATTAGAGTCAGGATAACAGTATTGTTTTCCTTTGCAGAGAAGCTGGAAAGGGACAGGAACAGGCTTCTGGAACGCTGTTGATAGGCTATGTCTTTTTTTTTTTTTTTTGGTATCATTAATGTGCAATTACATGAGCAACATTATGGTTACTAGACTCCCCCCATTATCAAGTCCCCCCCACATACCCCATTACAGTCACTGTCCATCAGCGCAGTAAGATGCTATAGAGTCACTACTTGTCTTCTCTGTGTTGTACTGCCTTCCCCGTGTCCCCACCCCCGCTACAATATGTGTGCTAATCATAATGCCCCCTTTTCCCCCTTATCCCTCCCTTCCTATAGGCAATGTCTTGGTCTGAGACGTGATTCTTTCGGTGGTGTTTTCTTTGTGAATATTCATGAAGTTATACAACTATGATTTGGGCACTTTTTCTGAATATATATTATGATTCAATAAGAAGGTATTAAGGAAAGAAACGGAGTACAAATATCAAAGGATGGGTGGAAGGAAGAGGGGTCTGGCTCTGGGTTTGATAGCAGCAGGGGCTCCAAAGTCCCCTGGGGTGGTGGCAAATACCTCTGCAAGGAAACGCAGTGGAGTAGTGAGGCTCTTGGAATGAGGTTTTCAACCCCAGCAATGATGCCTGCACCCCGGTGTAGCCCCGAATCAGCACATACTAACAAAACCAAAGGGAGCTTGAGGGGCTGGGACAATGGAGGCTGCCCTGTGTGGATGGAGGACCAATGATCCAAGCGCTCCTCCCCTTCCCCACCCAGCCTCCTGCATCACATCACATCTTTCTAAAAGAAGTATCCAAAATTAGAAACAGGGAGGAGATAGAATTTGTGCCAATAATGGCTGGAGGTAAACTTTCCAACAACCCAGTAGAACGGGAGCTTGTGTCAAGTTTTAGGGAATGAAGTAAGATCTCTTTACACATTTAAACTTGAAGACTGAGATTCTTACCAGACACATGGAAATGACAAACCTTTTTTTTCCCTGTTGAATAGACTTCCTCCTTCTTCCCCACTCACCCTTTCTTCTAATAGTTTCTCACCGTCACACTAGGAGCAACGAGGAACAACCAGTCTCTGATACATCTTAAGGATGCCCTTATGGGTATATCCAGGATTTACTATATTGCCCCAAAATTTGTTCTGATGTACTAAAATGAACATATGCTTGGAGTTCTCTCCTCCCCTCAAAGACATGTTATTAAATTCACTACACCTCTCTGTATTTTGTTGGCTTTTCTGGAATATTTTTTGCCAAGTTCTTTTTCTGCAGAGTTGTCCATCTCAGCAAAGTTCGGTGATATGTTCCATTTGTTTGATGAAAAACTCTACTACGTGTTCTTCTAAGCACCTGAAACAGCAAAATACAGCATTTGTAGGACTCACTCAGTTCACACTCTTGTTAAGGTGATTGGGTTCTGTTCTATCTGCAGGATAGACTGAGAAATCTTGTGGGTAGGGGCTGAGTCTCCCAAGTTCTATGACCCCAGCTCCCAAGCACGTTGCACTGCCCACAGTAGGAACCCTAAGTGGTCACTGCTGATGTGGTTTACAGAGCTACTAAAGGCTTGGATGTTATAAATTTGCCTTTATTAAGATCATTTACATAAATATAACTCATCAGTTCAAAGTAAACAATTCTAAGTTTTGGCAAATGCTACAATTATGTTAAATATCACAATTAAGACATAAACACATTCATCATCCCAAAAAGTTCCCTCTGTTTCTTTGCGGTCAATACCTTTCCAACCATGGCATCTGGCAATCATGGCTTTGCTTTCTGTCACAATAGATGCCTTTTCTAGACTGTCATATATTTGTAACCACACAGTATATATACTGTTCTGTGAGTGTCTTTTTCACTTAGCACATGCTTTTAAGATTCTTCCATGTTGTTGCATGTAACAGTAGCTTATTCCAATTGCTACACAGCCTCACCAACACTGTTTGGTAAGTCTTACTAATTTTAGGCATTCTAGTGGTTGTATAGTGGTGTCTCATTGTCATTTTAATTTGCATATTGTCATCTGATAAATTAAATGGCTTATTTGCCATTTGTTTACCTTTGGTGAGGTGTCTGTTCAAATCTGACCTTTTTTTAACAATTGAGTTATTTTACTATTGAGTTATAAAATTTCTTAATATATTATAGATACAAGCCCTTATCATACACACATGCTTTGTAAATATTTGCTTCCAATCTGAGGCCTGCCTTTTTATTATATTAACGGTATCTTTTGAAAAGCAAAAGTTTTAATTCTGATCAGACCATGTTTATCTATTACTTTCTTTAATGGTTTGTGATTTTTTTTTTTTTGCCTTAAGAAATCTTTGCCTAGCTCAAAGTTATAAATATTTTCTCCTATGTTGTCTTCTAGAAATTTTATCATTTTAGCTATTACACTTAGGTCTAAATCCACTCTGAATTAAATTTTGTATATGGCATGAGGTTTGTTTTATTGCATTTGGATATTTAATTGTTCCAGCATTATTTGTTGAAAAGAACATCCCTCTCTCCAGTGAAATATCTTGGCACACTCATCAAAAATCCATTGAGATTTTATAATATAATCTATTGTTTTGACCTAATTATGTATCCTTGTACCAATAGCACAGTATTTTGCTTTACATCAAGTTTTGAAATCAAGTAGATTCAACTTTTTTGTTCTTTTTCAAAATTATTTTCACTGTACTAGCTCTTGTATTAGCTCTTTCAAATTACCACACAATTTATAGAAACAGTAGGTCAATTTCTACCAAAAATCCTCCTTGGATTTTGATTGGTATTGTACTGAATCTGTAAAACATTATCTTAACTTTGTTGAGGGTTATGATCCATTAATATGGTATACCTTCATTCATTCAGGTATTCATTCTTTCTTTTCAGCAATATTCTATGGTTACTAGAAAACAGTATTACACATATTTTCTTAAACTGATTCCTAGGTATTTCATACTTTTATGTCATGATACTGGTGTTTTTCCTAAGATTTCAATTTCCAATCGTTTGTTGCTAGTATACAGAAATACAATTGATTTGTATATATTGAGCTGGTATCTTCAAATCCTTGATAAACTCAGTTTTTAGTTCCATTAACTTTTTTGTAGATTAGGGATTTCTACATATTTAATCATGTCATATGTAAATAGAAGTTTTATTTCTTCCTTTCCACTTTGTACACCTGTTACTTCTATTTCTTACTATATTGCAATGGCTAGGGCATCCAATACAATGTTGAACAGAAGTGGTAATAGTGGGATATCCTTGTCTCACTACTGACAAGAGGGAAAACATTCAGCCTTTCAACATTAAGTATGATGATGTTAGTTGTAGTTTGTTTGTTGTTTTAATTGAAGTTTTTACTACTTTCATGCCTAGTTTCTTGAGAGTTTTAACAGGAAGAGTAGTTAAATTTTATCAAATACTTTTTCTGTAACTATGGAGATGACCATATAATTATTCTTTTTTAGTATATTAATTGAATCACACTGACTGATTTTCAAATGTTAAAACAACCTAGTATTCCTGGAACAACTGCTAACTTTGTTGTGATATGTTATCAATTTTATATATTGCTGGATTGAACTTACTCAAAAATTTTAAGGATTTTTGCATCTATTTTCATGAAGGATAGTAATCTATATAGCTTTCTCTTTTTTGTAATGTCTTTGGTTTTCGTATTATAGCTATTGCTGCCTTCATAAAACGAGTTGAAAGGGTTTTTTTCTTGCTTTTATTTTCTGGAAATCTGTGTAGAACTGTCAGTATTTCTTCCTTAAATGTTTGGTAAAACTTGGAAGTAAAACCATCTGTCCCAGGAGTTTTCTTTGTGGGAAGATTTTTAATGACAAAGCCCATTTGTTTAATAGATAAAGGGCTCTTCAGGTTATCTATTTCTTCTTAAGTGAGCTTTAGTAACTTGTGTCTTTCAAGGTAATTTTTCCATTCCATCTATGTAATAAAATTTATTGGCATTAAGGTGTTCCTTATTATCTTTTGGATCTGTATGTTCAATAATGTCCCTCCTTCAGGTATTATGTTTGGTGCACATGGTGTGGGGGATCGCAGGGAAGACAGTGTGGCACGGACAGGGCAAGCGGTGGATCTGTGGCATCTTGCTACACTGATGGACGGTGACTACATTGGGGTATGGGTGGGGACTTGATGGTATAGGTGAGTGTAGTAACCACATTGTTTTTTCATGGAAACCTTCATAAGCGTGTATATCAACAATACCTTAATAAAAATTTTTAAAAATAATAATGTCCCTCCTTCACTTCTGATATTGGTAATTTGCATCTTATGTTTTTTTGTTGATAAGTCTGGCTAGAGGTTTATTGACCTTTTCAACAGAAAACAGGATGTAGTTTCATTGATTTTTCTCTATTCCTTTTCTGTTTTCTATTTAATTTACTTCTACTACTATCATTATTTCCTTCTACTTACTGTAGACTTCATTTGCTCTTCTTTTTCTAGCTTTTTAAGGTAGATGCTTAAATAATTGAATTTCGGCCTTTCTTCTTCCTTAATATAAGCATTTAATATTGTAAATTTACCTCAAAGCACTGTTTCAGTGGCATCTCATATATGTTGAAATGTGTTTTCATTTTCTTTCCATTTAAAATACCTTTGGCTTTGCCTCCTATTATCTTTGTGTTTGTTTTTTGTTTTTGAATGTAAGCCTTTTTATTTTTATTTATTTACTTTTTATTAAGGTATCATTGATATACAATCTTATGAAGGTTTCACATGAGCAACATTGTGGTTACAACATTCACCCATATTATTGAGTCTCCCCCACACCCCATTGCAGTCACTGTCCATCAGCGTAGTAAGATGCTGTAGAGTCACTACTTGTCTTCTCCGTGCTATACTGCCTTCCCCATTACCCACCTACATTATGTGTGCTGATCATAATGCCCCTTAATCCCCTTCTCTCTCCCTCCCCACTCACCCTTCCCAAGCTCTTCCCTTTGTTAACCACTAGTCCCTTCTTGTCTGCTGCTGTTTTGTTCCTTCAGTTTTGCTTTGTTCTTATACTCCACAAATGAGTGAAATAATTTGGTACTTGTCTTTCTCTGCCTGACTTATTTCACTGAGCATAATACCCTCTAGCTCCATCCATTTTGTTGCAAATAGTAGAATTTGTTTTCTTTTTATGGCTGAATAATATTCCATTGTGTATATGTACCACATCTTTATCCATTCATCTATTGATGGACACTTAGGTTGCTTCCATTTCTTGGCTATTGTAAATAGTGCTGCAATAAACATAGGGGTGCATATGTCTTTTTGAATCAGGGATCTTGTTTTCTTCAGGTAAATTCCTAGGAGTGTAATTCCTGGGTCAAAAGGTATTTCTATTTTTAGTTTTTTGAGGAACCTCCATACTGCTTTCTACAATGGCTGAACCAATTTACATTCCGACCAACAGCGTAGGAAGGTTACCCTTTCTCCACATCCTCACCAGCATTTGTTGTTCCTTGTTTTTGGGATCTTGGCCATCCTAACTGCTGTGAGTTGATCTCTCATTGTAGTTTTAATTTGCATTTCCCTGATAATTAGCAATGTGGAGCATCTTTTCATGTGCCTGTTGGCCATCTGAATTTCTTCTTTGGAAAAGTGTCTGTTCAGATCCTCCACCCATTTTTTAATTGGGTTATTTGCTTTCTGGGTGTTGAGGCTTATGAGCTCTTTATATATTTTGGATGTTAATCCATTATTGGATATGTTGTTTACAAATATATTCTCCCATACTGTCCTCCTACTATCTTTTGACACATTGTTTATTTGGAAATCTGCTATTCAGTTTCCAAGTAGTCAGGGGATTTTCCATATATCTTTCTGTTAGTTGTTCTGCTATTGTTTGAGGTTCATTGAACTTCCTGAATTTGCAGGTTTATAGTTTTCATTAAATCTGGAAAATATTCAGCCATTATTTTTTCAAATATTGTTTCTGCCTTTCTCCCACCTTCTTTCCTGGAGCTACAGTTATGCCCATATACATCAATTAATATTTTCCTACATGTCACTGAAATTCTGTTTTTTCTTTTTTCTTTTTTTTTGGTCTTTTTTTCTCTCTATGCTTCATTTGAATAGTCTATATTGTATGTCTTCGAATTCAATGATCTTCTGTCTAATCTGCTGGTAATCCTATTGTATTTTTATTTCAAACATTACATTTCTCATTTCTAGAAGTAATAGTTGGGGCCTTTTAAAATATTTTCCATTTCTATCTTTGTTATGTTCATGTTTTCTTTTACCTGTTTGAGCATATTTTTAGGTTTATAATATCTGCTTTAAGGTCCTTTTCTACTAATTCTATGATTGCTGTCATTTCTGGGATGGTTCCTGTTGATTGATTTTTCTGTTGGCTGCAGGTCCTATTTTCCTGTGTCTTTTCATGTCTGTTAATTTTGCACCGGACATTGTGAATTTCACATTGTTTGGTAGTGGGCTTTGAAGTATTCCTATAGGATGTTGCATTTTTTCCTGGCACAATTCTCAGTAACACGTAGAGCCAATTGATCCTTTCAAGCTTTTAAAGCTTTGTGCTAGTGGATCCAGAGAAGCTTTTATTCTGGGAATCAGTTATCCCCACTACAAAGACATGAAGCTTCTGCGGACTCCACTCAGTCCCCATCTAAAACAGTGTCTCTCCATTCTGGCTTATGGGAACATAATGTATGCCCAGTTCCAGAAATTGTTCGACCTACTACTTTCTGGTGAGTCTTTCCCAGTCTTAGTTTCCTGTCGTGCATGGGAAGATCACCACTTAGCTCAAGGCTTGAGGAGAACCCTTTTTGTATTTCTGAACTTTTTCTGTGCAGGTTCCTCTTCTCTAGTATTCTGTCTACCCTGTAAATTCCAGCCCCTTTGGGCTCCCTGAACTTGATTTCTATTTCCCCAACTCACAAAGCTCAGTTTTGTTTAAGTTCCTCCCACCCTGAACTGTGGCCTGGAAACTACCCCCAGCACTAAGCTGGGGCCGTTGTAGGACTCTGTTCTTCTTCTCAAGGATTGCTCTACTGAGCTGCATGTCACCCAATGCCTAAAAACAGTTGTTCATATATTTGTCTATTTTTTAGTTAATACTTAATATTTAGTTAATATTTTTAAATATTGTAAACAGTAGGAGCATGATTTAATTTCTACGGCAGATAATCTGTCATGAACAGACCTGAGTTTTATTTTGTCCATCTTTTTATTCCTTAGGAACTTGCACCATGTATAAATACCAATAAATGAAGGCTTGAATAAATGTTATGCTCTGTCAATACTGTTTACCTTCAGTATTTGTTCCTCACTTATTTATAACCCTCACAACAGCAATTCTCAATATTTCTTTGGTTGACAATCTATGCTAAAATTTTAATACTGAATAGAACTATTAGCAACACAACAAAATTAATAGATTCAAAACAACAGAAATAAATCAGTAATGCTCACAGCACAATGACCTTCCCAGCACAGGAATATCTTTTAAGGTGTCTATAAAGCAGTCCTTACTCACTTAGCCCCCATCAGTGTTGTGTTATTGTCTTAGCACCTAGTACTTCTTCTATTATGTTTCCCCAGCTGCAATAAAGCTCTTATTTTAAAAATGCACTTGTGTGCTAGAATTATGAGTGAGTAGAAAAAAATGAAGCTTCTTATTCTAATAGTAGTATGTGCATATTTTTTAATTTTAGAAAATACAGCTAAAGAGATTTTCAAAAACCACCCATAATCCTACCACCTAAAGACAACACTAATATTGCTTTCCACCCTTGTGACTGCATACCTGGAAAGTCAGCATAAGAGCAGGTGCGGCCCAGGTGGGAATGGAGCACGGCACAGATGGGCCTCACTGGTGCACTTGCTTGTATAGCAGGATGTCATGGACCTGGAATCTGTGAAAGAGCAATGAAGATATACCACGTTCCTAACAGCAGCTTAGGTTTAAGCTATTGCCAGGTGAGAGCCCATACAGGAATTAATAGTATCCCATCCTGGATTCAAAGTTATGCTTTGCCACTTAATAGTTCTGATTATGGATTAGTCACTTAACCTTCTGAATCCACTTCCTCCTCTGTAAACTCAGAATGTAACAGTATCTTCCTCCCAAGGTGCTTATGAAGATTAAATATGATGATCCTAATGAGGAAATTAAGGCTGTATGGCTTACAGTGGGCTTTTATTAACATAGGTCTTAATACATACACATGGATAATGTATTATCAGCTTATAACAATAGTTATCATTTATTGAGACTGTACAGTCCTGATTGCCCTATATAGAATATTTCATGTAACCACTCAATCCAGTGAGATATTAGCCCTATTTTACAGATAAGAAAACTGAATTTTTGAGTGTTAAGTGACTTGCTCAAGGTCACAACAGAAGAGGTGGAATCAGTACTTTGAACCCAGGAAGTCTGACTTCTGCTCACTCTTAACCACCATAATAACCTCTATGGCAGTACAATTAAATGTTAACAGGCTAAATTCTGACATTTAACACCCCTGAGTGGGTATGACTGATTTTTTTAAATTAGGATATTGCATATAGTTTTTAAAATATAAAGCAAATATTTGAGAGTGTCTTGAATTTTCACAGAATGCTGGGGTTCTCCAGAACTCAATTTGAAAATTCCTGAGGCAGTTCACTATTGGGTAATTTTAATAGCTAGGAACTTCCTGCCTGTATCAAAGTTGGTTCTGTTGTTTTGTTTTTTTTCCTTCACTCATCCTAATTTCAACCCTTGGGATCAGCTCAGCATAAGTCTGACTCTTCTTCCACATTGGTGATTTAAAAAATGCAGGCCATAGCCTGTAGTCTCCTGTGAAGCTTGTATTATGTGCATGTGTGTGTGCTGGGTCACAATATAAAATGGATTTCTTACCATTGGTCCCAGGCAAAAGTTTGAGAGCCACTGTTCTGTATGACTGCTCTTCAAGTATTTGAAGTCAGCTGTCCTATCTCATCACCTAAAGACATGGGACCTCCTTGCAGCATATGGATTCACCCCTTCACTGTGCTGGGCATCAGTATTTGACTCTGGCACTAGATTCACATGGATCCCTCCTCAAACCTACTTAGCCTTGACCACTCTTTCTTAAGAAGCACCACCCCATCTCTAGCCCCTTATTCTTATTTTTGTCAGTGCACGTTTTACTACCCAATATATTTTTATGTATCTCTGTTTATGATCTTCCCCAGTAGAATGTTCACCAATGAATCCCCAGTCTGTTTCTTGACACATAGTAGTAGCTCAATAAACATTTGTGGACTGAATGAATGAATGAGTACTAGGGATAGACACAGTTAAGCAACAGTGTATATAGAACTACTCATAATACAACTCTTTCCTTCAGGAGCTACATTATATAAAGATTTAACTCACCTGATTACAACTGTAGGCATGTTATCATTCTGTCATCTCATGTTAAAAAAACCTCTTTATTACTTATACTAAAAACACATATTTTATATGTTTATACATGTATATTACTGTGCAGGATATATCAATATATACTAAATCATGTATAGTGTTACTTTATATGGAATTTTATGAGATGTACATGAATAGTTTTGACTATATGAGATTTTTATCAATTCGGTTATAATGTATGGTGCCTATTCAAAGTATTTTACATTTTTAAAGCACTCTCAGGTAAGTAATCCATTTAATATTTTTCATACACTAAGAAAGCATGTCAGAAAGCTGGAAGGAACTTCATCAGCAGCCAGCTAATGAAGGTTAGATTTCATTGTCACCCTTTCATTTCACAGATGTGTAAACTGAGGCCCAGAGCAGGGATGACATTTCCTGAGGGACACCCAAGAAGGAGTGGACCTGGGGTTAGAACTCAGCTCTTTGAGTTGTTTTCACACTCGCAGAAGTTGAGGCACAGTCAGATGCCCATAACCCGCCCCCCCCACCGCCCCAGCAGGAGGTGCGCCTTGGATATTATCACCACTTCTCAGGTAGGGACTCTGGGGGCACACCTCCAACGGTGATTTCTTCCCACCCCAGGCCACCACCTAGCTCGGCACCGGGATTCTGCACGCACCCAACAGGCCAGGGTAAGGGGTGCTCAGCGGGTGTCCTATGGGGCGCGCCCTCCTCCCCACGATCCCGCGACCCGTCCCGAAGGAACTGACTCCTACCTCGTCGGGTCCCCCTGGGCTGATTCTGGCGGGCCCAACCTCCCCGTCGCTGGGGCAACCATAGGCCTAACATTATGGAGCCCACCTTCAGTCTGGCCAATAGCGTCTTCTGTTTCTTTAGCGTAAAAAGTTGTTGGCCAATCGTCAGAGGTCTTTCAAAACCCTCCGGGAAGCTGCTAGAATTTTTAGGGTTCGGGGTTAACTACGTCAGGACGGGTGGACAAACTTAACAAGGGCTTATCTAGGCGAATCTCAAAAATCTTGCGTTAGTCCAAAAGCCTTAGGAATTTGTTCGCCCAGAAATCCTAGTTCAAGGAATAAGTCTAAGAGAACTAACGTTCATCCAAGCCATGTTTATAATAGCAAAGGAAGATGGTTACAGGCAACCACCTAAGGACAGTAGGTTGTTGCCGGAGACACGCTTCAGAGCAGACACATTGATCTTGTCACTCCCCTGTTTAGAACCCTCCAACGGTTCCCCTTTAAATTTGGGATGAAATCCAAACGTCATTATTTAGGCTGTCCCTGGCCGTCTCTCGGATGTCAGCTCCTACCATCCAAGCCCCAGAAAAATCCCGCACCCACCACGCTCTCCTTCGGACAGTTCATACAATAGGCCCACCTCGTTCTGCTCTCGGGCGTTTCCTCTGAGCTCTGTCTTAGGGTCTGAACCAAACTGCCTCTTTCTTCTCGTTGAATCTCTGCCCAAATGTCATTTCTTCACCGTTAATATGGACATGAGCTCAATGTCTCAGGGAGTTGTGGGGATCTGAAATGAGATGCATAAGTGGAAAAGCATAAGCTCTATGCATATGCGCGTGTTATTACAGTTGTTGATTACGGAAGCATTCATCAGGCGCGAGGCTCACCGAAGGACCGTAGGTCTTGCTGAGCTAAGTTCGTGCTGGAAGGGTCGGTATACAGCAGAGCCAACAGATGGTAGGGGAGCGCCGCTAAGGAATACTCCTCCTCCACCTCCCGAGTACTCGGGAAGGCTTTTAGGGGAACCGGAGGTGAAGTATGTGTGGGATTCGAATGCGTGGTGAGAGAGTGGCTCGGGGGAACAGCAGGAGCAAACCCGGCAGGTGTCTCTGAGGATAAGAAGCAAGGACATCTGGTGGGCTGCCCACCTGTGGGGCAGGTGAAGGTGCGCAGGAACCTGAGCTCTCCAGGACAGCTGGAGACCATAGGGGCGTTAGTTCCAACGTCCTTCCTGCGGCCGCTAGAGGGGACCCCCTCCAGGTAAGCACAGGCCTCCAGCGGGCACCACCTCCCCGAGTCTACCTCCCTACGCTTCAAACAAGCTTTGCGGTGCGGCCAATAACCGGGTGCTGTCCCGCCCACCCCCTCCTCGCAGCCACTCGCCTGCGCGAACTCCCCGCCAGATTCAGACTGGCAGGTGTTCTGGCAAATCAAGTCTCGGCCTTCGAAAGCAAAACACTGCAGCACCCCGGCAACTCGAGTTCGGGAAGGAATAAGGAGGCTGTGCCTCCGGGTTGCGCGAAGAGCCCGAGTCATTTCTCTGGAACCTCCGATAGGTGGGCCTCGGAGGAAACGCGGCTGGTGAGTAGCCACTAAGACTGAGAGAGGGGGACCTTGGATTCAGCCTTCGTTTTTTCAGGAAAATGCATTTGGAATCATCTAGCGTTCCCTAGTATAAATACCTTTCTTTCTTGCCGTCACTAGCGTTGTCAGTTTGCGTCTTGTTCCCTCAGAATGTTTTTTCCATTTTTGCATCGAGGGTGAGAGGACAGGGGGCATGGGTTTGCCGTAATAAAGGTGATGCCAGGCTCTCCGAAATCATGAAATGAAATGGAGTAACTTTGCCGAAATGATACCTCTACACGCCGGCTCGGGCTTCCTGGCAATAGCAGACGGTGGAGTTAGCAAGTGGGATGAGGGGAAGCATTTTTGATCTACGCCGGCCGCTGGAAGATGTTTCCAGCTCAAGGGAGGGAGGGGACTGAAGAGTGTAACCCTTTAATGAGCCAGTGCCCAGGAAAGGAAAGCGCTTGGCATGTAACTGGCACCGGCAAAGGGCGTGTTTTATTTATTTTTAAAGATGGAGCCAAATTCTAATACAGACCCTACTCTTCGCAGCCATGAGCTATGGTTCTCTTATCTAAACCTACCCCGTGGGTTGGTGCAATATTTCATTGAAGTGAAGGGTAGGGTCGGGGGTGAAGCAGAAGCAAGCACCTAGTGAATTATCTTTCCATTCTGAGTCAGTGCCCCTGTGCTCATGGTGGCGTAAGGGCCTCAGAATTACAGGGTGGCTGGCAACACAGAGTTGGCACGTTGCCTCTTGGGCATATGTTAGTCCAGCAAAAGTGCATTGAGGTCAGGAAAAAAGAGACTCTAGGCAAAGAATGTATGCCTTAGAGGACAACTTGCAAAGAGTTCCTCAGAGGCTTTTAGTCCAAACTCCTACCCAGCTGAGGGAGAGAGCCTTCGGTCGTTGTAGGCAATGTCTCAGAGTCCTGGGGATTCCTGATGCAGAGACAAAATCTATTTTTTAACAGCAAATCAAATGACAGCAACAAGAACCACTACAAACAAAAGCAAAAACAGAAGCCTGCCTGAACAAGCCAGCTGACCCAGAGGAGGTTAGGAAGCCTGGATTCCTACCTACTACCTTGGCATGTCCCCAAGACCTGTTTGCTCTCTCTCTGACATCCTGAGGGTTAGGCTGGGCACAGCTCTTGTATCTCTAGAGTTGTGGTTGGTGAGGCCTGAGTGAGTAAGCCATTCCAGTCTTGACTGTGAAGCAGCCACAGTGCACCAGGTGCTTAGCAGGCCTGCCTTCAGCTTGTCAGTGCGTTAAGTATGGAGGTCACTCTGCCAGACTCTGAGCTAGATCTTGGGAGGAAGCAACTGAACAGGGAATTCAGCAAACACTTTCCCAGAGCTTGTGCTCCAGTACTCTTCAGTTCCAGGCTGAAAGCCTCCCAGGGTCTCTCAGAGGTGGAGAAAGCCCTGGGCCACTCTTCCTTCCTAAGGCTACTTTATTAAAAACTTAACTTATGTTAAAATACATAAATATAACACAGTAATGCTTTTCATAGACACATAAAAGAATAATTATGCTTTCACAAGACTACAAACAAATATTCATAGGGCTTTATAATCAGGGAGGTCTGATTATGGAATGTGAGTTACAAAGTTGTCTGTACCGTATACACATACATACACACACTAAATGTATAACCTCATCCAGAGGCAGCAGCAATAGTTTAATTTTGATGCCTTCTGACAAAGGAGACCTGGGCCAGTGGTCTTCATGGCTGCCTTTGTTCTAAGCCCTGCACCTGGTGTCTCCTAGGTGCTGGACACAGTGTTACCCCTGTGACATGTGACTGTTATTCACACCAGGAACCACAATTCCTGGGCCTGGGGCTAGATATCAGAAGAAACTAGAAGTTACAGGAAAAACAGGCAGCTTCCTGAAGCCTCAAGGCATGACACATAGTAAGCCCTCAATAAATATTTGTTGTACGAATGTGTGAAAAAAAGAAAGGAATATTTTCAGATAAATTAAATAAACTGAAAAGAATAAAATGAATACCAATGATAGCAGACATTCATTGACCACTGGCCGTGCATGTACTTTACATGCGATATTTCATCAAATTCTCACAACAACCCTGTGGGGCAGGAGTGATACTTCCTGTATTTCACAGCAGAGGGAACTGAGTGAAAAGTTGATGAGCTGGCCAAGGTTAAACAGGTAGCCTGTGACAGGTCAAAAGCTGTTTAAAGCATTTTTATATTAAAATAGAGACTTTGCAGTAGAATCCAAATTTTTATGATTTCTTTTTTTTTTTAGTGGAAGACTTCAAAGTACTTGTGGAAAGGTGTTTTGGCCATGCCTCCCAGAGTACTATGGTCATAGTTCCGCTTTCTTCAGGATTTGGTAGAAAAACTGGAGATGCCCTGAAAATATCAGTCCAGTGAAGCCACGTTATTACCCCCACTTTACAGATGAGGCAGCTGAGTCTCCCAGGGCCCAAGTGATCTGGTCACATAGGTAATCTACCTCCCAGTCCAGGGTTACCTCACCTGTGCTAGGCAGACCCTCGGTTGCAGCCCAGTTCTTCCATCATCCTTGGAGATAACATCTTATTCTTTCTTTCCTAATTTGGAACCCAAATGGTTTCTTTTTTATAGCAGTGGGATTATTATTTTTTTGAAGGCCTAGAGAAGTAGATGTAGACAGTATGCTACTTCTTATGTAGAGGAGCCTGTGGAAAAGGTAGGATTTAAATTAGGATATGACGGGAGGAAGAGAGCAGAGTGGGAGAGGAAAGGAGATTTTTAAGGGCCAGGTTTTGAGGTAGATAAGCCTATCTTTATTAATGGGCCCAAAAGCATAATATAATTTTTTTAAAAGTGTCCCTCCTCCTGGCACTTTGTGTTTTGTCCTAGTAGTAGTCTCTTCTCAGGTAACAAAGCTGGGCCCGGTGTTTCATTACACATGTGTTTTTAATGTTCCTCCCCACCACTCCAGAGCACTGCAAGGATCAGGAAATGCACCCTTGTCTGTGTGCTTGGGAGACAGAAACCACCACTTCTCTGAGTGAAGACGAAAACAAATAAGCCAGCCACAAGAGCTTGAAGTACTCTTCCAGAGGGTGAAAGCGTGAAAGCGATGGCTGGTAGAAGGAGGTGAGCACCACGAGGAAAGATGGCTTCCGGCTTTGGTCCCGCTTAGCAGCAGCTCCAGCCACCAAGCCAGGCCTGGCGGGATGTGCCACCAGACCACCATGGACGCAGCCCACGGTGGAGCCCTGCAGCTGCAGCAGCTCCTGCCCACGAGCAGTGCCGGTTCCCTGAGCGACAGCTCCTTCTCCTATAAGGCAAGAGCTTTCTCCTTGGTTGTGGAATTGTGTACTTGATGAGAAAGTAACACAGTAACAGTACAGCATTAGCTAACAGATATGTGCCGGGTACCAGACAAGCCCTCCACACACTCAGGAGAATGTGGAATCAAAAGTTAAGAAATGCTCATTAAAATACATAGAAGTAGGGAGAGGGAGAAACATAAAAATGGAGAGGTAGAGAAATATTTTTTAAAGAATACATTCTTAGAAGATTTCTTTTTTTAAAAAACTACCTATTCTGTTACTTGGACATGACCTTTGTGCATATTTCAGTATATTTCCTTCCTGTCTTTTTCTGGTATCACAAATTTTGAGGATCAGATTGTACACAAAGGTTTGTATCCTGGTTGTTGCGCTTAATCTTCTTTGTGTAATATTTCCCCGTGTCACTGAGTAGTGACCATAAGAATGCTTTTTGAATGATTGCCCAATAATCTGTTGAGCCGTATCAACATTTGCTGGACAGATTCCCTATTGTTGGATGTCCAGGTTGTTTCTAATCTGAGGTGACTATAAATAATGCTGCATTGAACATTCCAGAATGCATGCTCTTTTGCTATCTCTAAAAATTGGCCAGCCCTGGGAGAGGTAGCCCCTCCCTAGTCAGTGAGGCTACAAATGGCAGGGCATCAAAAATACAGAAAATAAGGAAATACATGAATATAATTAGTCCTGTGATGAATGGATGCCAATAGACTAGTCAGTGAGGCTACAAATGGCAGAGCATCAAAAATACAGAAAATAAGGAAATACATGAATATAATTAGTCCTGTGATGAATGGATGCCAATAGACAAATACAGAATCTCAGAAAACACAAAGCACTCTTCCTGAGATTTCTAATAACTTTCCACTTTAATCACAAATTAATTCAGTTCCTTATTATAGCAGTACATTCTTGACAGAGCAAAGATAAATAAGTTATGGTGATTCTGCCAGAGAGCTTAAAAATTGATGTGGGAAAAAGGCATGTGAACAAAGGGTTATGAGCTAACTGAAGTACCAGGTGGGATAAAGGGTAGAAGACCTAGGTTTGAATTCCTATTCTCCCTACCAGCTAAGTGACCTTGGACATATGGCTTAGCCCCCGGGAGCTTCTGTTATGGGTAGAATGGTGGTTGTAATACCTCCCCTCCATCCCTCACCTCTCCATAGCTGTGTGAATCAATGAAAAAGCACCTAGCCCAGTGTTAGGCATGCAGGAGACTCAGAAAATGCCTCACGGTCACAAAGAGGAATACATAAAGGTGCACAGAGCAGAGGAAGGTATAGTTGATTCTGCCTGGGAATTGGGGGTGTTGTTTCTAAGGGGAAGTGCTTTCCTCCTTAATTTTGTTAAGGCTATTTTGCTCACAAGTAATTAAAACCCATTTCAGAGAAACTGAGGCAAAAGGGGAAATTATTGTAAGGCTACAGAGTATCTCATAGAACCCAGGGACAAGAAGGGCAGTGGAGCTTGGGAGGTGCTAGAACTCTTACTCCCACCTTCAAAAGCAGGAAGATATGATTGGCCCAGCTTGGGTCAGGTGTCTAACCTGGTCCAGTCAGCAGGTGGCCAGGGGCTGGAGTCACACAGCAAACACCGTTTCTGGGGCTCCAGCACGGTAGGCGGTTTTCAGAGAAAAGTGGTTTTGTGGACTCTGCTGGCTGTCCCCAAATCATCTCTTACCACTGGGACAAGGAAAACGTTGAGATCCCAAGTCCAGTGTGGTCAGTGGGATAAAGTTAGGAGCAAGCAGCTTGCGGTGAGTTGCAGCCCTGCCATCTGCCCTGCCCAACAGAGATGGTTTCTGGTCATTAGGAAGGATGGTCAATGAAGAAGAGACCAATAGGCTGGGCTTCCAGGAGGCAGCCTTGCAGCAGGTCCCTGGCCTGGAGGCTCTGCCTTGGCCTGAAAGAGTCACACCTCAATGTCTTCTATTTAGTAAATAGGCATTTCAGCTGGACACCTGCTATAGCAATCCCTGTACTGGGTGGGGTGGAGCTGTGTAGATGATCAACAGCTCTTCCCTGAAGGAGCTTGCAGTCCAAGAGAATGGTAGGGGAAGCCTTTTGCCTCAGTTCCTGCCATTCAGGACTGAATTTGGTGCAAAAATGGAGACACAGCAGGGTGTTCAGAACATGGCCTTCAGAATCAGACAGTCCAGGCTGCAATTCCAGGTCTGTCACTTGCTTGCACTGGGAAAAGTCATGTAACTCCTCTGCAGGTCAGTTTTAAAGCCATCCTGTAGGGTGGTTATAAGGATGACCTGAATTTACAGATGAGGAAACTGAAGCTGCCTGCCCATTCCCTATTTCTGCCTGTGGAAATCCTACCCGTCCTTCTAGCTCCAGCTCATGAATCCCCTTTTTCATTAAGCCTCTGCCAGTATTCCTGGAAGGAAAATATAGGTCCTTTAACACACTTTTGTAGTTAGTCCACAATTACAACTATAATCATCATCATAATTATAGCAGCTGATGTTTGTTGAGCGCTTAGTATGATAGGGACTGTACTAATCCTCACCAAAGCCCCTTGGGATAGGTACCTTGATAGTCCCATTCTACATGAGGAAGCTAGCACAGAGGTTAACATGCCCAAGGCCACACTGTCAATAGGTGGCAAAGCTGAGATCAGGTCTGTGCACTGCCAAGGCCCTTGACTTTACCCACCATTCCCTGCTGCCTACATTGTGCCAGCTACTCTGCAAGGCCCCTTCTCTCCTGGACACCGGTTATCAAGTACTGAAATGGCAGTTGTGGGGAAGGTAATGCCTCACCTACTGGAAAAGGTAAGCGTCAGGTTGCTGGCCTGAAGCCAGGTTACAGGTGTAGGAGCCTGGTTTGTTAGACTGCAGCGTGTCTTGTATTAAAGGTGAGTAACCCCGGAGCAAGGCAGAATGTGGTTTACACTTAACGTTAGCAGGTTTAAGCCCAAGGGATTGTGGGAGGTCTGCTTAAATAGCAAGTGGTGGCTGGTCTTGTCACGTATTTAAATAAAAGCTATTGTTGATAGAAGTAAAGCAGACCCTGGAATAGGAGAGCTGAGCTTTCACTTGCAAATCAATATCCAAGCAAGGTTCCCTGTAGGCTGCTTTTCTGGGAAGTTTCTTTGCTTTTAAAGTTGTATCTGGTAAGAGATAAATTTTTGGATCAGAGAATATCAGAACCAGAAGGATCCTTAAAGCTGTTGCTAATAATAATGACAGTAAAAATGAACATTGTAATAATAATCATAGTAACAGCTAGAATTGTTTTGTATTAAATATAGGTAGTATTTCAACATGTGCCTTCTTCTTTCATACAACATGACAATCCTGTGAGGGTTTATAATCAGTTCCATTTCTCAGAGAGTTAAAGTAATTCCCCTGAAGTCACACAGCACTAAGTGACAGAGGCAGGTCTGTTGGTCTTCAGAGTCCACACAGGGAAGCTGAAGCAGAGAGAGAAGTGACTTTGGTTTCACTGCCCCTACCCTTGATTTTGCAGTCTGTTGAAGCCACAGCTAGAAGCAGTGAGTCAGAATCCTGCTGCCTGCAAGTAGTTCTGACCTCTCCCCAGTTCCCTCGCCAGTAAGGCTTCCCACTCAGAAGCTGCTCTGTAAATACAGGGACCCAGTGTTCTGGGTTGCTCCTCATGTCCATGCATATCAGTAGAGCCCCTTTTCATTCACACAGTGTTCCAGTTTGGACTATATATAGGTTCCTGGTAGTTGGGAGGCCTCACTAGTTCCTCACCTGTGACACTGGGGACCAAAGTGTTGGGGAGACCTGTGTTGAGGTCTGGCCCTGCCACTTGCTCCCTCTGACTTCGGCCAAGGGACTTTCTCTGGCAACTGCGGTCCTCCACCACGAGCAGCCCTCATTGAACTATTTGCCTTCAAATTGAGGGCAGCCCTTGCTTCCCACCTCCCCTCCCTTCCTCCCCAATTGAATCTGCTCAGTAAAGTTGAGGGACTGTTGGGAACCGATCGGGTGGTGCCTCAGAAGGATCCTCCCCATCTGACACTATGGGTGACGGACTCAGGAACACCATTTGAGCCTGCGCCTTTTCTTAAGGGACAGCGTCACTGATCCCAAGGTCGGATCCCTGGTCCAGTTAACCGTCCACATGTACTCATGAACACCTAACACTTTAAATAACTTCAATGTAAACACTTGGGGTGCTTTCTCTGTAAAAGAAGAGCATGGTGTGCTGTCCAGAGGTGGAAGCTGCCCAGGCACTGCCCCTCACTTCCTTCCGTGCCTGCAGACTTGGACACCCCCCTTTTACAGTTTCAAGGTCCGAGGCTTGAATGAGGAGTCCTCTGACTGTTTCATGTCAGGAGCCCTGCCGGTTGTCCCCTCAACTCCAGCCCTTCCCAGGCTCTTGAGGGCAGTTAATAGGTGTGTGTGCAGACTGTGTGACCCCTGAGCCAGTGGCACCTCCTTTGTCTGACTCTAAATGCTTGTAAAATTGAACCAGTTAGTACTTCACAAGGGTTTGGGGCATAATTAGTGTTGATGAAGCCCTTTGAAAGGCTTGGATGAAAGGACATTAGTTACGATGTGATGTAACTAATCATGTTTGTCTGCAGCCAATTATGCGTGGAGATTAATGTGCTTGTGGAAATGGCTTCTTAAAAGACCTCAGCTGCCTGTGTCACTAGTTGGATGTAGCACTTATAGGGTGGGGTTACTTTTTTCTTAATTTGTTTTGCCACCTTCAGAGTCCATACAATGGGAAACAATCCCGAGATAAGTCAGCCCTTTAGCTCCAAATCCTCCCATCCTCACCTTAGGCAAGTTATTTCATATCTCTGAGCCTGACTTTGTTGTCTATAACCCCTAAAAATAGAGCCCATCATAGTACCTACTTCATAGGGTTGTTTGTGGCCCAACAGTGATGCATAGAAAGGGCTGAGCAACACACCTGACCTATATCCAAAAATGCTCTGTAAAAATACCATCCTGTATTATCATAATAACCTTTTAAGCTTGTTTTTGCTGCTTTGATTGG